TTTCTAAAGCAGTCTCCATATTGTTTATTCCCAGCTTGAACTGGACCCCGATGAAGATTTTTCTTTGGACAGCAGTGAGGAATTGAATCAGGTGCTCAGCCTGGCCAGTGGGTGGAAGCTAAAATCCTGAGTCCTGTTTCTTCAAAGGAATCTTGCAAAGTGCCAAAATATGCCTACGGATTTAATAAGGCAACATTTGCATGACTCTTCAAGGCCAGAAGTCCCCAACCTTTTGGGCACTAAGGACCGGTTCCATGGAGAGAGGTTTTTCCATGGACCGGAGGGTGCGTAGTTTTGTGTGTTGCCTGCATCACGCAGATGGGGCTTTGCTTGTTTATGTGGACCAGTTGCTGGCATGCCGCACCCCAGTACTGGTCCACGGACTTGAAACAAGCAAATTTATACCAGGTGAGATTGTGATACATAGAATGCTAATCTAACGTATTTGAATGGTTTTGCACTTGGTGAACTCAGCCTGCATTAAATCATGGCTTATGTCACACAAACTATTTATCCATTTAGATCAGCTTTCCTCAACCCGATACTCTCTGAATGTATTGTAACTCCAGCTCCCAGAATCCCCAGCCAGTCAGTGTGGGAAGCAAGGAACGCATCTCATACTGTCTTCCAGTCCGACAAGTCCATTTTGTGATGAATTTTAACAACTAGCACACAGTTTTCCTTCTCAGCGGGATGTTTTCTTACAGGAGTAAACTTCAAATCTGGTAATTCACGGACCATTAAGATGGGGAGAGTAGACGTTAGATAGCAATCCTTTGGAATCTTTCCAGAGGAAAGCCTTGAGAATTATCCCTAGCACAGTGTTTCTCAACCTCGACCATTTTAAGGCCTGTGGACTTCAACTCCCAGAATTCCACAGCCAGCATTGCTGGCTGTGGAATTCTGGGAGTTGAAGTCCACAGGCCTTAAAATTGTCAAGGTTGAGAAACACTGCAATAGCAGAACCCAGAAAAACGCTTTAGTACCTTACCAGGGAGGAACCGAGTTTACACCCAACGTCCGCTGGCCGGTTGCAAGTTCTCCAACGCTCCCCAAACAACCTTGAGAACGGGAAGGGGGGAGAAATTCTTACCCCCCCCTCCCGCCCCAAACCGGGAGTCGACAAACGCAAGGAAAAGATGTCGGCTTTTGGTACCAACCTCGCAAGCGCCGTCCTTTGGCTTCCCACGGCCGCTAGGGGGCGCGCCGGGAGCGATCCCATTGCAGGCGGGCGCTGCGGCGGGATGGCAGGCTGGGCGGGAACGGAGCCTGGCTGGGGGGAAAAGGCAGGACGGGCGCTGTAGATTTCCACTGCCCCACTTGGGCCGGGTTCTTCTTCCCCGGGGCGAGCTCGGCCTTCCCCCGCCCACAGGCTCGAGTGAGTCAGCAGGGAGCCGGCTGCGGCTCCCCTGCCCGCGGGCTGGCTCGGCTCGGTTGCTGCAAGAAAGGGCGTGGGGCGCGGCCGCAAGAAGCGCGAGCTGCAGAGCAGCCGAGCTCGACCCGCTTTTTTTGCAAACCGCGTTTCGGCTCGTCCGGCACGGACCCCCGAGACAGGGCCGCCCCGAAAGCCAAGCTCGGTTGGGGGCTCCGACGAGGGCCGCGGAGAGGCGGGGGACGGACACCCCTGCCCACCCACCCCGTCTCCCGGGCTCTCGGCTGGTGTTGCATTGCGGCGCTCTCAGCCGCGCGGGCGCGAAACGGCGGGGCTGCTCCCGAGCCAGCGGGAGAAACGGGGCCAAGCGCTTTGTTGCCGCAAGGAGCATTCGAGGGATCCGGCGGGGAGGGGGAGGGTCTCTACCGGGACCCGGCCGGCCTGCGGGAATCCTTAGAAATCCTTTCCCTTTGCAACAGGGACAACTGCTCTTCCCGGGGGGGGGGGGAGGAGAAGGGTGTTTAGGGCCATCGGTGCTCTGCTTCCATTTCAGTTGCATCCCACTGAGGCTGATAAGATAGGACTACAGTTCCTCTCGGCGCGGCCGTGCTGGCTGGGCATGATGGTTCCCGTCCGATTTAGAGTTAACGAATAAGCAGTTTGAAATGTGGAGTGATGTGAGGGGCACGCAACCTTCTGCTGACCTTACTCCAGTATCAGAGATACTGGACCATCTCTGATGGACAACTTGGGGGGGGGGGGAACCATGCCATTCTGCTAGGCTGGGTAGATTTGCTTCCCGCTTAGTTGTTTTCTTCTGGAATGCGCGATACCCCTCCTTGCTGTGTTCTTCCACTCCAGCAGTAGCCAAGATAAGCATAGAATTGCACTAGGTCTTGCTGGAAAACTGTAGCTCTTCTCACATGCTCCTGTCAATACAGCTGTGATGATGTGGAGCCTTCAACCTTCCTTAGGGATTTTCAAGTTACCGTCTGATCCCTGAGGGGACACAAAGGTAGATCTCTCTCTCTCTCCTGGAGACCTTTATAAATGCTTTAAATGCAAAGGCCTTCCAAACGTTGCAAGGCTGGATTGCCACATTTTGAGAATTCTGTGCTATCTTCACCCCAGAACCCCCATTATTTATTTTTGTTATATTTATCACCCGTCTCATGTGGAGCTACTATAGGCGGCTTACAACAAAGAGTGTAAACAAAGTAAAACAGAACAATAAAATAATGGAGTAGAACATGAGAATACATCAACGTAACAAAAAGATTAATTACAAGCCTGGAAGGACCCAGTGGCTGCATTATTTTGGATTGACAGGTTTAAGCCTGCAAGAACTGACCTGCCAGAGGATCTAAGGAAGAAAGCTCAGATCTAAAGAGAGGGTCTACAACAACTTACTTGCAGCCAACTTGCCACCCAACTCATAATGAGACAAGAATTGCACTAATATCAAAGAAATAATCCAACAGTATCATTAAAGAAAGGATGCTAGAGGAACAAAATTAAATGTGAATGACAAAAATTAAAATGTTGAATTATTTTAAATAATTAAATTGAATTGTTAAATTGTCCCTCAGTTGAGTTGTCCCATGAAAGTTGGCCATGGCAAATTGGTTGCAATAAGTTGTCCCATTCCACCAAAGAGGAAGGTTGCCTTATGCCATTTTTTTTTTTCAAAGAAGATTAAGGCTGCATCTGTCTAGGGCAGGGAGACAACTACTTATGAGAACTCAAGAATTTAAGGGCTCTGTTCAAGCATTTTTGAACAGTGTGTGTTAAGTGTCTTGTTACTTGGCTTTACAATTAGTTGATTAATCATCACTGCTGTTCAAATTTAATGATTGTTTTATACTTTTAGAATTGTAAGCTGCCTAGCCACTGAGTTGGGTGCCTATAGAAATTGAATAAAATTCTGAATGGCATTTGAGACTCAAATACAGGATTTTTTTTGTCATTTACAGTATTAGATTTGAGGGTTCATATGCAGCTAGTTCTCCAAAATAGCCTATATAGTACCTTTAGGCAACTTTGCATTTTAATTTGTTTGAGGGTGAGAATTTTTCCAAACAGCGAATGGAATATAGGTATCTCCTCATAAACAAATGCAGGAAAAGATGCCATTTTTTGGTATTAAATTTGCAAGTGTTGCCCTTAGCTTTTGAAAGTCCTATAAGCAACTAAAGAACAAAGTTTTGTGTGAATGTATGTCACATTTCTAAAGTTAACATTTCTTGATCTTGCTTTATAAAACTCAGTTAAGCTACAAATCTTATCTAATGGCATTTGTTAATGTAAACAGTTTAAACAAATCTCACAGTATTCCTTTTGGTATGGGAAGATCTCAAATCTTCTGAACTTCCTCATGGACAGGAAATATTGAACCTTATCACAATGCAAGACAAAAAAAAAATGAACTTCAATATGAAACTCTATGTTGGCACATCTAAACAGTCCATTAAGACCACTAGCAAAACCTGTCTATTGAGGGCATCACCATGCCCTGTAAGATTACAATGGAAAATGTGAAATGCACTTATTTGCAAATTATAGAGGAGCTTTTTTAACTGAAAAAAAAATGCTGTATAAGATCCTTTGGACATTTAACTGGGAATGCATCTGAACTCTGCACTATTCTTAGGACTGCATTGCTGGACATGCTGCCCTATCAAGAGTTTATCCTGGCGTAGCAAAATTGGATGCCAGCCAATAAATTTAACAAGGCCAAGAGGACCTCAGTGGATCACAGCTAATTAACCAGTCCTGTTAAGTTGATAGCCAGTTATGAAACCAGCTTTTGGAAGTTAAATGCCAAAGCCGTCCAGATTTTATTCCATGGTGTACTTTTATCTTTTATGACCACTCATCAGTTGTTACTCCTGCCAACGCTGTACAATCCTAAGACAGATCTGATAACAATGTCAACCAGGCAAAAAATTGTACACTGGATGTGTGGGGAACATGGCAAACATGGTTAGTGACCCCCTACTGTAGGAAGGTAGCCTGATAGTTATTGCAGAATGACAATATGTGGCAACCAGGGAAAGAAGCCAGCAGTATTTGCACCTACAATCTCAGCAAAAAAAATCAGTATCATTTGAAGCCAATCACTTGCCAAGCTACTGATCTAAGATCCAGCAAATCCATTGATGGATACTTTATGAGGAAGAGTTTGAACACATTTGTACTAGTAAAGTTTTTCATCTGCTTGTTGAATACATCAAACTTTTAGGACAGCACGGTTTCAACCTTAATTCTTTTTTATTCTAAGCTATGCAGCTTAGCCAGCCTAATTACAGGACTGCAGCCCATTTCATGATGCCTTTCCCAATTGTGAATTGCAATCTCCCACAGACAATATTTTAAATCAGTTCAAATCAATTCCACTGGTTTGTGTATCCAAGGATTCGCTTTAGTAAGCTGACACTAACCACTCTATAGTCATGTGGTTAGAAGCCCTCCAGAATACCAGGAATAAAACTGCATTTTATCTCTTCTTACTACCCAACTTGTAGTCCATCCCAAACACCTGTAGTATTTTTTGTTATGCCCTCGGCATAATTCATCAGCTTTGATATAGTGAGCTTTGCCTGCAGGAAGAAAACACAAAACCAGCCACCTGGTTTAACTTGTTTTATTTCATTTTGAAAACAAATTTTTATCTTCAGTCCAGCTGGACTTGTGAGGGAGCAGAAATCGAAACCCAATAGAAACGCAGCAGTAAGTCAGGAGCATAAAGATTCAGAGGGGACTAACCCCAGCTACAGAAGGAATGGTCGATTGGTTAAGACAACAAGAATGTTATTTTAGATCTCCACAATCGGAGATGATGATCTTCTTGCTTGGTTTGCCATTCTTTGAGCCAAAACTCTCCATTTTCCTCACAATGTCCATGCCCTCTCTGACTTGGCCAAAGACCACGTGTTTCCCATCCAACCTAAGGAAGTAGAGATGAATACTGTGGTGAATACAACCTGCATTTCCACAAACAAATGTCCCATCTGCATTCAGGGCATAGCAGTAGCTATTTTGGCAGGAATTACGCTGATTGGTTACTTGTGCAACTTCAGACAAGGCTCTCTATTCCAGGACTGTTGCTTAAATGTCAAGTGAACCAATTCAATCTCAAGCCGAGGGTTACTTACCATTCAGTTTTCTCAGTGCAGATGAAGAACTGAGACCCATTTGTATTGGGACCAGCATTCGCCATAGATAAAATGCCAGGGCCTGTGTGCTTGAGAATGAAGTTCTCATCGGCAAACTTCTCACCATAAATAGATTTACCGCCTGTTCCATTATGGCGGGTAAAGTCACCACCCTGTAGAAACACATCCCAAGTGCAGCTGAAACATCAATTTAACCAGGCTTTCCCCCATCATGTTTTTCATCACCTCCAGCCAAGATGACTAGGTGAAAATCCATTTGAGAGGCTTTAAAACACAATAGACTGCTTGCTACCACATTAATATGCAATGGTTCTTTTAGTAATTGCAATAATTCTAAGGCTTCTTAAGCAACTAAGAATATATGATTACAACACGTGCTAAATTGATGGAGCTATATACCTGACACATGAATCCAGGAATGACTCTGTGAAAGCATGATCCCTTGTAACCGAAACCTTTCTCTCCAGTGCTCAACACACGGAAATTTTCTAAAAAGAGATTGCAGCATTTGTTTAGATCTTTGACAAGGTATAAATTTGAACATGTCAATAAATGTTTCTAACTTTACCAACCTGCTGTCTTTGGAACTGTGTCTGCAAACAGCTGTAGAACAAAAGTGAGACAATAGTTAATGCAATACATTGTTACACTAATGTGCATATATTTCTCCAACTAATCACATAAAAAGTATTCTCTCCATTAAGTAATTTTAAATACTTTGCACTAAAGAACTGTAATCAATAGTACCAAAGCATATAATATTGACACAATTCACTTAGTCAGATTGAGAAATATCTGCAAATGGTTTACTGGCCTACCAGAAAATAGACCAGTGAGTAGAAAATAATTTGTCTGCACATTCAAAAGTGCAAATATATAAGAAATCCAAACTGTATCCAACCATTTCTTTGATCTAACAGACTTCAGGCAGGTACCAAGAAGAAACTATATGGTGCTTGTGAAATTCTAATCAGATTGTCAACCATAGTAATACAGACTTTTGCTCAGATACGCAATTTTCTTTAGCAATTCCTATTGCAAAACCTAAATGTCCTTCCCACTCTAAATCTTTGGAGATTGTAGGTTTTCAGCATACAAAGATTTTATTCTGAGCAACTTACTGGAAAGGAGCTTTCTTAACAGAGGGTAAATGTTGCATTCACAACTGTTTTTTTTCCTTTACAAGTTATCTAGAATGTCTCTTCATACCTGGCTTTTTAATGATACAAATGTAAAGGGAACCCAACTAGAACTGCTCCAGCAACCGACTGAGGATTCGCCCCTTAATAAGGAAGCAAACCTTCCAAGCCATAGCAGTTAACTCAAGCTCACCCATCCCCATTCATCTAGATATATGGAATTCTATATAGAGCTGGGTCAGCTTCCACCAGCTTTTATTTTTGTCGCTTGCTCTTGGCTTTCCCCGTACAAAAATGTAGACACGAAGTGGCTCCGTCTCTCTCTCTGCCAATATCTAGATCTGCACCTATAGCGCTTCGGAGACGAACCTCCTCTGGCTCCTTTTGGACGGGGAGAGCGAAGGAGCAAGCTTTACTCTTTAAAGGATCCCATGGGGAAGGAAGTGCCTTTTTTTCTTCTGCAAGCGATTAAGACAGGCGGAAAGAGCCGCCCTCCCCTACCGCACCGTGGGCGCTCCCTTCCCTCGCAGCAGGGAGGGTGGGGCGCCGGCAGGCGCAGCCGGGACCGTGCAGGAGCAGAGAAGGAAATCCCAAACGGAAGAGGGGAAGGAGGACCGCGCGCCCTCCACCCGAAAAGTCCCGCCGAGCTTCCTTTCCGGAGCGCGGCGAGGGGGGGGAAAGGAAGAGGAAGGCGGCCGCAGCAAGAAGCAGGCGGGCAGCTTCGCGCTTCCCTCGGACGGGCGGCGGCCACGTGGAGGCGGCGGCGGCAGCAGCGACGTGCGCGCTCCCGCTCGCTGGCTCGCGCGCACGCCCTTCCTCCACACCACCCAGGTGCGCGCGCAGCCCCTCCGGCGCGGCAGCGAGGCGGTTGCCTTTCTCTTCCTCTCCCCCCCCCCACTCGCCTCGCGCGCCCGTTTCTGCTTCCTCCCCTCCCGCTGCATTCAGCGAGATCCCAAAATGGCCCCCGCGCTCCCACCCAGACAGGAAATGGCGGCGCGTCCGCCTCAAACCGGGCTTTTCCCCCCGACACGGTCTTTTTTTCTTCCCCCCCCCCGCCGCCTCCGTACCTCGAAGGTGATGCGCCCGAGGGGCTCTCCGTCGGCGGCGATATCGAAAAACACGACAGGGTTAGGCATAGCTGGAGGAAGGAACGCACCGCGCGAGCGAAATGTATAAGTTTAAAATAAAAAAGAGCGGCACCAGCCACAGACAAGGACCAGCAACCACAACTCCACACCAGCGAGCGCGGCGCAGCGGGAAAGAAAGCGCCTGCTCGCAGCCCTTATATAGACGACGTCCTCCCCCTCCGTTCGGACTTTCCCTCACGCGACCTTTCGCCAATCACAGTAAGGGCAGGTTGGCGAAGTGAAAGGAGCGCCGGCTAATCCGGGCGCTCCTTGGCGGGCAAAGGCGGGCTCGGCGCGTCCCGCGCCTCGGGGTAGGGGCGTGGTCTTAACGAGAGGCGGGAATTGAAGAAGGTAGGCATGTGGCGCATGCGCGGTATTAGGCTGCGCTGAGTAAAGGGAAAGGATGGCTGGAAGAAGGAGGGGCCGTAGGCGGTGGGGGGGGGGCGCGCTCCTTAAAATGATTTCATGACGGAATTGCTTATTTGCCGTTAAATTTCATTAGTTTTTTTTTTAATTGAGCGCGCATCCATTGGCTCTGAAAAAGAAATCTGGCTTGGGCTGGGCCGGGCACACGAGTTGCAACCCAAATGGGGAGATGCCCTGCAGGGGAGGAGGCAGGCATGAAAAGCAAATTTTTAATTAAGAGACGAGGGCGAGGAACCCGCGAGGATTTAGGAACTGCAGCCAGGCCTTGGAAAGTAGCCTCCCTGCCGAATCCAGGCCAAGAGAGCTGATTTGCTGCTGATTTTATTTGATACCACCCCTTTTTTGTTTAAGGGGTTCAAAGGACTCTTTTTTTAAAAAAAAATCCCATTAACTGCCTTATGGAGTAGGCTTCAGTCGAGGAACTGGCCCCAATTGCACCCAAGCCCTTGGTGCAAAATTAATGATTAGTGCAAATTAATGGAGTCAGGATTTGATTCAGATTGACTGCTATGGCACACTTATACTGGCTGGCTTCGATTCCATTGTTTGAGGTCGGGGAATGGGTCTCCTTAATAAAATAATAATTAAAGTTCCCATTCTCCAGGTTAAGCCTCAGAGTTGCCAAATCTGCTCACAGTGAATGTGGCTGTTTTACAGCACCACTCTGGCTGGTCTAGGATTTTTTTCCCCCTAATAAGTAATATTCAAACTTTGCATTGCAATCTAATAAAGAATCAATTTAGAGCAAATTCTCAGGAAAAAAACCTTAAGTGCCTCACTAATTGCAATTGGTCATAATTTGCGGTGTATCGAAGAGATCTGGAATCGGTGCCTTTTATTAAGGTTTTTTTTTTTCTCCCCCATTATTAGGTACCAGATCTGTAGCCTGATATATAATGTTAGATGTAACGGAAGTTGGCTGGCTGAGGAATTCTGGGAATTGAAGTCTACAAGTCATAAAAGGGCCAAGTTTGAAAACCCCTGGCCTAGATGTAGGTAGTCCTGGGAGCAGAATTTCTGTTGCTAAGCAAAGTGGTGGTTAAAGGAGATGCACTCGATTTTATGACTTTTTTTTGTTGCCTCGGTTGTTAAGCAAATCACTGCAGCTGTTAGCAAAATAATGCAGTTGTTAAGTAAATCCAGCTTCCCCATTTTCTTTGCTTGTTGGAAGGCAGCTGAGGAGGTCCCACACAGTAAACCCAGGACTTCACAATGCTGCAACCATCATAGATAAATGTGGGTTTCTAAGTGCCTGAATGTTGAACATGTGACAATGAGGATACTGTGACGGTGTAAGGATTGGTCATAAGTCAATTTTTCAATGCCCTTTGTAACTTCAAATGGTCACTAAATGATTGGTTGTAAGTGGAGAACTATCTATATACTCTTAACAGTCCTTCCTTCAAAGTATCAGACCACTAAGATGGCTTCAGATGGGCAGGTGGTTTAGATGAAAACTAAAACTTTTTAGGCTTGTTTGCTGTCCATAACATGGTTCTGGCGGTTTTGAGATCAATATTTTTCACAATTTTCTTTGAGTTAGAAGCATTCCTCTCTCCCCCCCCCCCCACGCTTCTGAAGGAAGCCTTCTCAATGTTAAGTAAACATTTGGGGGAAAGCCTTAAGCAATTGGCTGCCTAAACTGGAAAAGAGGAATAAAGGGTGCTTTGGTGATCCCTGAACTAGAAAAAGTGTCTAGCATCAGTACAAACCTGAAACTGATAAAAAAAAATGCCTTCTTATACCTTGAAACAAACCTAGTCAGTTTCAGCACCTATGTCTGATGTTCAGTTCCACAAACTGTCAGAACCTAAATAGGTATTGGGAAACATTACAGAGTTAGCTGGAAACTCTTTTAAGATTAATAATTCCAGACCAGTGAAGAACACCATGTTGAAAAAAATAATAAAAAAACCCTGATGCTGTTGGGAATAGAAAGCCTGTTAATCTTGCTTCTTTAATAGCCCTATCTTAGGTGCACTTGGACATTCTCCTGGATGGTTGTGAAGTGGACTTTGGTCCTTTTCTTGCCTGTTTCCCCACCCTGACCTATGACTTCATTGCTCTTTTAGTTCCAGGTCTAGCAGTTCATGTATCCTTAATTCACTCCCTCCTCCCCTTGCATTTTTTAGCATCATAGATAAGGCAGAAAATAATGTTTTATATGGTTGCAAAATTGCTGACTTTCCTTCAATAGAAACACCATCATCTGTCTCCCTTATTTGAAATTGTAAACACTGTTATGTTCTGAAATTAGGATTTCCTCTGCTCAGGAATTAAATCCAATTTATTCTTACTCTTAAAAGCTAAAGGGTCAAGACATAAGTATACCGTGATGGGCTAGATTCATTACTTCAACATGAACATTTCTAAAATTCTGTCATGATAAGGAAGCATCGGTCAAATAAACAACAATGCTACTTACATTGATTTATCTTGTCTCATGTCAGAAATCAGGAACTAGAAAGGGGAAAATATTTTATCTGTTGCCCCAGGATACCTTGCAATGCTCCTGGAGTGAAGCAAACTCTTACAATTAACCCACCCCACCAATTATTTTCTTTAAAATGACAATAGGGCTATAATATTAGCAAAATTCTTTTGTCACTGATCAGGTAATCTTACATTCATGTGCACTTGACAAAAGGATCCAGATGCTAAGGGAAAGTGTGATGCAGCCCCAAGGCATTGCTACCTTAACTAAATACATTCTCTTATCACAGCGATCTTATGTGTGCCCAGCCCTCTTAATACCCAAGAGGAAAAGTCAAGATAAACCAGTCCGGTTGCCAATATACCAGCTCCTATATTTAGTAGGCTTGTGTATAAGCAATCATCACAAAGAGAGTGAGATGGATCAAAGTCAGTGACACTAAACATCAACTTCCCTTCTAAAAGTTGGGCCTTCACAGATGCCCAATAATACTGATCCTAGATCATGGCCCTGGAAGCTGCCTTGACAAATTTGGTAAAGTGCCTCACATTTTGTTCTTCCAGTGCAACAATTTATGCTGTTGACTGTTAATTTATTCAAGTTGTAAGAAAACCAGATACTGGAACAAAATCTTGTAGTATTTTTTTTACATGCATGTATGGTCTTGCCAACTCAGTGATAACTCTTTTTATTCAGTAACAACATAATAAAAGATTGTACCAGCTTTTGCTCCTTTTCATGGTTGCTTCCCATCACGATCTGTGCTGTGCTAGATTCAAAAGGGCAAAAATATCTGGAGCACACATTGAGTGATCTGGAATGCCTCAAAGCAGCTGGGTTGTGAGGCTTGTTTCAGGAGAGGGGATCTGCCCTTGTTCAGCAGAACACAACAATTTGAGAGCACCGAGGGCAGTACAGGGGCGAGGTCTGGTCATCAGATTTAAGTCGGGCTCCGTTCTGTGACTCCTGGCTTGACCTATTAAGCCCACGCTGCTTCGGTTTTGTGTTCCCCTCAAGATTTGAAGAAAATATAATCACAATGGCCAGGGAAGCCTCTGTCTGCCCACAAAGCATTTTCCATCTCTAGCACAAACAGCATCGGCATTAATCTTCTCCATGTGCAGGCCCATGGCTACAAAACAAGGCCATTCATTGGTTGGCCCTGCTCTGGGCAGCTCTGTATTTAATTAGCTAAAGTGGTAAGATGTGCGAGAAATGCTAAAGGCTTTGTCAGCAGCCCCAGGACACCCCCCCCCCCGACGCCTGGTAGAAGCTAACTGGCGGGGGGGGGGGTGCTCCCTGTGTATATCTTTATGACTTTCCTTGGATAATACAAAATGGGGGTTTCAATAGGATGATGATGATAGTTGGAAGGGACCTTGGAGGTCATCTAGTCCAACCCCCTGCTCAGGCAGGAAACCCTAGACCATTTCAGACAAATGGCTATCCAGTCTCTTCTTAAAAACTTCCAGTGTTGGGGCACTCACCACTTCTGGAGGCAGGTTTTTCCACTGGTTAATTGTTCTAACTGTCAGGAAGTTTCTCCTTAGTTCTAGATTGCTTCTCTCTTTGGTTACCGTAGTTTCCATCCGTTGCTTCTTGTCCTGCCTTCAGGTGTCTTGGAAAATAGCTTGACTCCCTCTTCTTTGTGGCAACCCCTGAGATGCTGGAAGACGGCTATCATGTCCCCCCTCGTCCTTCTCTTCATTAAACTAGATATACCCAATTAAACTGTTGCAATGTATTAAGGGGGGGTACAGGCTGAGGAAATAAACTGGGAAAGCCAATAAAAAAAAAAACTAAACTCAGAAAAATTATTGGTACCCCCCCAAGTGAAAAATATTTATAGTTTTTGCTCTGGAAGCCAACACCAAAGTTGTGCACATTAAATCCCTCATTGGGGCAATTTTTCTCCTGCCCCCTCTCCCCCCCCCCCCCCCGATTCCCACCCTTCCCAGATAGGATTGCAATTCTGACTGACAGGAGAAACAGCCTGGCTATGTTTGCAGAGATGCTCTGAATAGCCACCAAGGAAGTGGCCCCCACTGCGATCACACCAATAATAACGTAGTCAAGCAAACACAGTGCCAGTGTGCTGGTTATGCTCATGTCTGACAGCGAAGCCGCGAGTTCTTCCAGCAAGATGGATTTCTTGGAGGGATTCTAGGATAATCCTTGGGGATTAGACCTTGAGGCCCCACCTGTTCCCTCATCTTCCCCCCCCCCCCGCTTCCTTTTCTGTCCTGTACCTGTCACTGGAAGCTGTGAAGAGCCATCTGTTCCTGGGGGAGCCTTTGCCGCAGCCGTCAGACACGCTCAGCCGCCCTGCTATGCAAAGCACGAGCTCCTGATTTAATTCAGCCAACAGCTGCCAAGATTTTATTATGCTTCTTAGTTGCAGACCCAGGAAGTACTTCAACTTAATCACCAGGGAATACTTTTTCAAGTGAGGCTATGTGAAAATTTCAGGAGTGTTCCACCTTCTGGGGCTAAAATGGATTCCTTAAAGCTTTTGGAATGAATTTGAGCTCTGTTCCATCTTCGGAACGCTTCACAACACAGGGTGACTATCCAGAAAAGACGCCCACACCCTAATCAGAGTCTTGAAACATCTGATCTGGTTTTCACACTGGGCTAAGCTTTAATGTGATTTGATTTAGCACGTAGATCGTTTTGGTTTCTAAATCATGCTTCAGCACTTAGTGTGAGGTGCAAATCCTCTCAGCTACTGTTTATACAATCGTTTACGTAAACAATGGATAGCTGGAATGTCCGAACTCAGCCACTGTGTGGGCAATTAATCGTTTTAGACCAGAGTCGTCATTAACTTGAATCTGCAGCACCTCAGTTTTTCAGGGCTAAGACAGTCAGAAAACTGAATTAGTTGCATACTTGCAGGACACCGTTGCTCAAATAGCTCCGTCAGGGGATAACCTGCACCATGTCCAGTGGCAGCTACCAGGATGGCAAATTTGAGGACAAAATAGAGGCTTGTGGGATAGCACACCTGGGTTGAAGGAATTGAACCTAATTTTCCACCTGAAGGCAGGACAAGCAATGGACGGACACTAATCAAGGAGAAAACCAACCTAGAACTAAGGAGAAATTTCCTGACAGAACAATTAATCAGTAGAACACCTTCCCTCTGGAAGTTGTGGGTGCTCCATCACTGGACGTTTTCAAGGATAGCCATTTGTCTGAAATGGTGTAAGAGTCTCTTGCTTGAACAGGGGGTTGGACTAAAAGACCTCGCTTCCAACTCCATTATTCTATTATTTATTCTTCTGCCTGCTGCTCAGTAAGGTTAGCATGAATAATTTATTCTATATTAATCACTTTTGTATTAAGCAACAACAAGCTAAAACACCAAAGACTTTAGAAGAAAGTTGCAGTGTTGACAAGCATATAATGGACTGTGGTTTTGTCTGTTGCATTGTCTTCTCCAGGAAGGTAATTGCTATGCATGGTTATCATCAGATGTGCTGAATTATGACTCTCATTGGCCATACATGGAGATTCTGAGAATTGCTGCCCAGCACATCCAGAGTACATTTGTACAATGGAGGAAGAATTGGGGGAGGCTGGTTTATGCTTTTATTTCTGCCAGTGAAATGTCACTGGAGCGAATAGCAGGAAGAAAGAGTTGTTCAGCCATTCATTAACCTATGTATTCCTTGTCAGAAGTTTGTGGATTGAAGAAAATATGGGAAAATAATTCCTTATTGTGGGATTTCTTCACATGCCGCACGCCTGTGTCTGTATTCTTGCATGCCTGTGTCATACAGGTAATAAATGAGCCCCAATCATCTCTTTCAAGAGAAAGAATGTCTTAGAATTAAAATCAATGGTAATAAGTGAAAATGGATTATTCTATGGATAAAAATGGACCAGTTTCTTTCAGTTTCACTCCCCCCCCCCAATCTTCATTTTATTATGGCCAGATTCAAAATCAACAGTCAGTGGTGTTCTTCACCTGGAATAACCTTACAGCGAGCTCTATCTATTTATTGTATCCTAGAGAAAAGGATGACAATGTGCAGCAACATTTATGCAGATGTTTTTCTGCAAAAGAAAAAAAAAAATCTCCGGAGCTCTTAGGATAAAATTGAGCTTGGACTTGCTGGCGTGCTGATAAAAGCAGGCACTCCTTCATTAGAAACCCATGTTTATTGGGAGCTTCCCTGAGGTGGTCAGCAGAATAAATACCTGGCAATGCAGAAAGAAGAGAAAAAAAAGAGAGCCTTATTCTGAATAATGTATTATAATCTCGTACATTATTAATGGGTGAAAACCAGTAGGCCTACATAATTGAAGGCATGCAATTCCTAGCAATGATCTTGCCTGGATATTGAGCTCATGAGCTATGAGTTATCAGTCAAAATGATCTCTTCCTTTGACATACAGACTACGGTCTGTATGTCAAAGAAAGAAGTGCTGAACGGGGTATTTCTCTCGGCACACGTTGGTGATAAGGGACGTCTGAAGGGCCTAGAGAGGACATTCAGAATCTGCAAGGCCACCTAATGTCAATTCTCCTCCACTCAGTGCTGATCAACCACCTGGAAATTGGTAGAGGAAATTCTTATCATCCTCAGCAGTACATGCCACGAGAGGGAGGCTCAGCCTAGATACCAATTTATTTCCAAGGCTTGCTACTTTTTTTTTTTTTTTTTTTAAAGTTGGCATCTTGGTTCTCTCCCTTTCCCAGAAATCTGCAGAAGTTCAGCCTACAGGACCTGATCTCATTAACATCCCCAGACAAAATAATCTGGAAGAATGTATGTGCATGCTGACAGTTATACGTTCTACTGTGCTTGCTACATTTTGTTAATACTGTGTTGTGCAGATTCTGCTCTGCCTCACACTTCCTTTTGGAGGACCAAGATTTAATTCTAAGCAATCAAGATCTCTTTAGTCCTTAACGATTTCTCCTCCTCGTTCTAAAAGCTTCCTTGAGCTTTGTAGTTGGGTGCTTGGTAAGCAAGAACTGCCTTTAGCTCATTTTTATTCCTTCCCATAATTTGTCTTGGGGGGTACAAGCAAGCACCTTTCAAATCTCCCTTGCTGCTTAACACTCCGGCAAAAATTTCGTCCTGCGTTTCCCTTGCCACAAAGTTTTGGTTCTTGAAATTTCCTCCATTTTCTGCAGACCATCTGGGATTCAGGTCATCTATTGCCTGCTTTCCCTATCTCCCTTTTACTTAGAAATAGCCTTGAGTACATTTAATTGTGGACTTTCTCCTAGATTCCTGGGAACCTGCAGTCTACCGGACCAGTTGTAATTCCATCTATCCCAACTACTGCCTATAAAAAGTGGCAGAGACATTCCAAAATGTCAGACAAATATATTCCGCAACCTAATCTGCTGAACTGGAGGTGGGGGGGGGGGAAATCGAACCTTGATATGGTGCTCTTCCAATGACCCTTCTCCCATTATGCAGGGCACTTTCAGTCTCTTCCACATTGGCACCAGGGCGACTTCAGAATGTCTTGACAGCTGATCTGTTTCGGTCTTGGAATGAGATTCAGCTTGCTAAAAGTTCTTCTCACCAGGGCGGCTATTTGGAACCGTTGTTGTTTTAACCGTTTAGTCGTGTCTGACTCTTTATAGGCAGGTGTTCTCCACACTACCCTGTCAAGCACAGCTCCTTTCGGTTGTTGGATGTTCAGCTTTGTGTCAGCTTTGATGTTATCAAGCCATGTGCCCTTTGCTTGCCCCTTCTTCTTGATCCACTAACCATTCCTAGCATCACTGCCTTCTCCAATGAATTCGCACACATGACAAGGCCACAGTAAATCAGACGTAGCCTTATGATTTAAACTCCTAAAGATGCATCTGGGTTTATACAATTTAACACTTGTTAGCTACTCTGGCTGTCCATGGTATACACAATCATTTACACCAGCATCACAGTTCAAAGGCGTCAATTCTTCGATCAGCCATTCTTAAGCTTTTTGGACTACTTCAAAGAAAACCTGTAAGTTAGATTTCCTAGACTTGAAAGGGACAGGTACATCCACAAAAACACACGTGCCTGCAGGAAGGCTAGATCCAGATTCAGTCATACCTGTAATTAATGGGACTTTAGTTAGACATGACCAAATTCTCAGTAATTTTAATAATTGTCTCTAGCTACATCAAGATCCAGGTCACTGGGCACTGCCATTATAATCACTGGCCCAGTGCCATCAAGACACTTCTGATGTTGCAAAAATCTCTAATTGCAGCAGACTTTAGAAATTATTCTGGGGCCATCCAAACTTGGGCTATTTCACTGATTGATGGACTTTCTTTAGCACAAAGGAGGCAATGCTACGTTTCCTTCTCTCTTTTTGAGAGGCATTCTAACCTTCCATTCTCCTTGGCATACCAGGACAGCTAACACCGCAGTCACTTACTTTGATGGGCAAAAAGTCCTACAACTCAACTCAGGATAGAGATGCTTAACCTGAACATGCATGGCTCTGCCATTTTTGCACCTCCAATTTGGTAGGCTAGTAGCTGATTCGAGGTGCTTCATATGGGGCGATTCTGATGATGGTAAAAGAAGCATGTAGCCAAGTTTCCTTTCCTTCAAACATCCAGATTTGAATGAAAGTGGGCCAAGGCTCACTGAATTCCAGCACAAAGACCTAGAAGAGATTAGATTTATGTTTTTACCAGAGGACACTGCAAAGAGAAACATCCCTCAGTTTTAGAAAGGGAGAGATTTTTTTTAATAGCCATTTATACATGTTTCTTCTCTGCGGCCTTTCAGCCTCCACCATCTTTTTAACCTTCTAGCATGGCCCCAAAATGTTTCTCCCCTTCCAAAGCTGTATTCTCTGCAGTACCTTCAGGTTATTTTGCCTCTTCTGACAACAGACCATCTCCAATCAAACAAATGATTAGAGTTGTGCCCTAATTAAAATTGCCCTGCCAGTCATTCCTTGGTTTCTGTGACACTGCTGCCAATTTCAGTATTTTTTGGCCTTGGGTTGGTCATTCGACTTGTCTCTTCAAGAAAGGAGTTTCCACAATCTTCAGAAGAGGGGGAGGAAATAACTCACCCTGTTGTGTGACCTGCCCTGTCCCCCACATTTACACCCCTTGAGGCCACAAGTAATCAAACGTGAAAGTCAACGGCCCACAAAAGATATTTGGTGAGCCCCACCAAAAAGAATCCTTTAATATATAGCAATAATGAAACAAGATACACAAAAGTCAACAGAGCTGTCAGCACTTGGACACAGGGACTCCCTGGCTCAGGAAACCTGGCCACAAACAATGGCTTGATTCTTCACAGACAGATCACATTGGGGACCTCTTCGCCACCATCCCAAATGCAACCTCAACCAAAGTAGGTTCCTGGGCAGGATGGAAGGGGACGGAAGGCCAACACACACACATATTTTAAAACTTAGTTTTTGGATTTGTCTCGTTGCCACTTAACTTTCGGGGGCTCGGGATCAAAATGAATAAAACCTCGGCATCCAGACCCTCCTCTGGTGGGATCCCCACAGGTCAAATGCAAGGGGCAGGCCCCAGCTATGGCTAAAAGCATCACGTCTCTGGATGGTGCTCTCTGTCCCACGTGGAATGGTCTATATTACAATCTAGGGAAGCTTATGCACATTTATACAGAGGACCTTCACCCCACGCCTGGGGAGCCCTCATGAGACTATACAACGAGTGTGATGAGTTTTTGAAGCATATTCCTTCCCATCCTTCCCACCTTCGTTTCCTCCCACCCTCACTTTTATTTTATTTTTTGTTTGTTTGCTTTAGTGTTTCTACATTATGTACATTGTTGTGCTTGTAGATGGATCCATCAACTGACGGAGGCAAATCTGTCAGGCTGTATCTGAGCTTTCGGTTCTTTCGGTCAGAGACGCGTCTCTTCACTTTTGCAGTCAATGGGAAGTCACAGGGGATTATTTCCTAGCTTGAATTCGCCCGGGGTCCTTCTGTGGGGAACAATAGCCTCCTTTTTTTTTTTTTTTTGAAGAAAGAGACCGTGGGCGGGTTGCTGATCTGGATTTGGCGTTGCTCTCACCATGATGCTGTAAGCCGCTAGATGAACTGCTGCTCTGTCCGTCTCAAGGCTGTAGAGGACAGGAAGAACTACTGTAGCTCATGGGGAGGAGGGCTCCAGATGCAGGGACAGATAAGAGCAGGCAAGCTTTATCTGCTTTCTCTCGGTGTGGTGGAGCTCTGCTATTCCTTGGAGTTTGTTCTTTAAAATCCACAAGGAAAGTGGGTGACGTGCGCGGCGTCAATTTCATTCCATGGCTTCAGACGATCAGGCAAACTTGCTCATCTCAAGATATCAAGAATGGCGCCCGTGAAGGGAGCTGTCAGTTCCACTAACATTTCCAAAGGCTATCCAGATGCATTTCTCCCTCCCTGGCTGCAGGTTTGTGAGAGTTATCTTGGGAATATTATTAGAAACAAGACAATGCCCGGTACCTGATTTGGCCTGAGCAACATGATAAAAACCCATTTTTCAGGAACGGTCGCCATCAGCAGCAGCAGCACCATCTCTCCTGGGCTGGGAGGATTTCTCAAAACAAGTCAACCAAGCATTCCTAGTCTTCCAGGGGAGCCCTTTTGTAGACAAGAGGCAATCCTAGCAAAAGGAAATGGCTGCCTGGCCAAAGTCCCTCGAGCTGATTCAAAGCAGGGCTTCATGGCCACCACCGAGATACATGGTGAGATCTCTCTCTTGATGACAGCCTAGGAAGCTACGGGATGAACTGTAAGTGAAAATGTGTGTATGAGTGTGTGTGTGAGAGAGAGAGAGAGAGAGAGAAAGAGAGAGAATGAGAGAAGAGAGAGAGATTGCATACATGGTGGGTGGAGCATGATGCCCAGGTTCCATCCGGGGTGGCTTCAATTGTTCTCAAACAATGAGAGCAGATCATCATTGCTATTATTGGGAAGGTCGGGGGGACCCAAGTAGGACAGCAGCTCATCTGGGTTTGTCAGCTCAGGAAGAAGCTGAAGACAAGATGGAAAGAATCAGGGTTATCTGCTAGCTCTGTGGTGGCAGAACATCACAAACGTGACTAGGCTTCAGGATCAAAAACAACATACAATCCAGAAAAATGATATGGGGGGGAGAAATGACATGGACATCCATGCAAGAAACCTGGAGAAAGATGGGGGACCATCCACTAGAGCAGAAATCTGAGAGCATCACCTTCTAACTGTCAGGTTGAGATCTCTCGCCTTCGTGCTTCACCTTTTCTTAATGGAGACCTTTTTATGCAATTCTGGGGCTGAAGCCTTCAACGCCAATATAATCAATGTTTAAATCAAACTGTTTGTTTTTCTGCCTTGACTGTCTGATACGGGTCTGTCTGTCAGTGAAGAGTGACAAAGGCAACACACTGAACTAGCAAACATGTGGGATGGGACCTCTCTGTGCTAGAGTTGTGCTAAATAACAATAATGTGCTGGAATTCCCCCTTCCAAAGGTTACACCCAATTCTCCCTTTTCGGGCAAAAAAGTGGACTATTAGTGGTATTACAACACCACTGTGTTTCTCATCTGGTGACCTTGCCGCAAGGTTTGTGTGAATTATTTTCTTTTTGATTCTTGTATGCCTGATTGTATTATTTGACTTGCATTTTAAATTATATGCAATTATATTAAAAGCCTATGGCAGAAAGACATAAATATTAACTGTCTTTTTAAATAGCCCATGCCCTCACCATGTCAACGTTGCCCTGAGCCTGCAGGGAAAGCTTTTTGCACTACCTGGAAGATAAGGTGGGCAAACACGCCCTTTCTGCTTCCCAAAGTACATCTTAAAAGGAGGAGCACTGAATTTTCCAAAGCTTTATTTTGTAGGTGGGTGTGGCTTTAGCTGCTAAACAGATCTTGTAGAGACTTAAGTGTGGTGGTGGGATTCATCTGGTTTGCACCAGTTCGGCAGAATGGTAGCTAATTTTCTGTTGACTTCAGCGAATCAGCTGAAGCCCTAGCCCTTTTTCACAAGGCCCAGAATGGACTGCCGGAAGTGTGTGGACGCCACTTCCGGAAGTCCGTTCTGAGTCTTGGAGGTCTGGGAGAGGCCTCCCAGGTTCAGAAACCCCCCTGGAAGTGCGTGGACACCACTTCAGGAAGTCCGTTCTGAGCCTTGGAGGCCCAGGCCCAGAAAAGACTTCCAGAAGCGACGTCCACGCAGAGATCTGGTTGTTCAGGTATTTGAATCCCACCACTGCTTAAGTGTGTATCTCATTCCTTAGTCTGTTCCCCCAGGTGGGTCCGAAAGGTGCTTTTTCAAGAGGCAACTGGATTTTTTTTGTTTTTCTTTGAAGATGTTTCTCTTCTCATGCAAGCAGTTCTTCAGCTCTTATCCAAGAAGCTTCTTGGATGAGAAGCGAAACGTCTTCAAAGAAAAACTTGCCTCTTGAAAAAGCACCTTTGGGACAACCATGACCTGGATGACTGAGAATCTCCACAGACACATCCCCCAGGTGGCCCAATTGTTGAGAAAGTTGCTAAGATACCTATTTTGACTCCTGATCTTCCTGACAAACTCCTAGGGTTTGCATAGTCTCCATTCAGCAACAAGGGAGCAGAGCAAAATATGCTGGCAAGGCAGACACTAGTTTGGGCCACTTCCCTCTACTTTATGTGCCACTGGGAGACCTTCTGATATCCAGCTGTCTTGGGGTGGTGGAAAGGGAGTTTGGGGCTTCCAGCACATCCAGAAAGAGACAGGGGAAGGTGAGCTTGGGAAGGACAGCTCCATGCTACTTACGTCAAGGGAAGGTTCAGACCCATCCACGGGTCCAGGTGGTGCTCCCATCCCAGGACCAGGGTTAAAAGGGAGCTCCCCTCCATGTGTTGGGCCTCCGGTGCCTGGCTGTCCTGGTGCCTGGCGTGATGGTGGGGGAGGAGGAGGGGGATTCCGGTGATGGAGCTGTGGCTGCTGCTGCTGCTGTGGTGGTGGTGGCTGCTGCTGCTGTCCCGGCTGATTGCTGAGGTTGGGGTTGTTTAGGCCCTGTTGCACAGGATTGTGTGAAGAAGGGTCCATCCTGCTTGATGGAGGCATCTGCAATCGCAAAAGAAGGAAACAAAGCTGCTGAGGGCGGGCAGAGCCGCAATCCCGGGAGAGCTTCATCGTCCTACAATGCAGACCCTTCCTCTGGTGTGGATAACTTCATCTCCCAATGTTCTCCCATCCCACCCTGCGGACCGCCCAAGGAGACCGCATTCCCATGAAGTACCAAGCTATATCTTTTGTTGAGTTGGCTGGGTATGTAAGCCAGGCTCAGTGATCAATAACAGTGGATTTGGCTCCATCATCACACAAGCCACACATTCTCGGTTAGAGCAAAATAAGAATCCAGGGGCTGCCAACAAAGGAGAGGAAGCCAACTTATTCTCCAAGTTGAAGGCAGGACAAGAAGAAAAGGATGGAAACTAATCAAGGAGAGAAGCAACCTAGAACTAAGGAGAAACCTCCTGACAGTTAGAACAATTAATCAGTGGAATGACTTGCCTCCAGAAGTTGTGAATGCTATAATGCTGGAAGTTTTTAAGAGATTGGACAACCATTTGTCTGAAATAGTATGGGCTTTTCTGAGTAGGGAGTTGAACGAGAAGACCTCCAAGGTCCCTTCCATTATTTTGCCTTCTGTATTCTGTAGACATGATGTTAGCAACAAGGATGGAGGCTGGTCATCCAGACAGAAAACAAGACTAAACGAACTAATTCTACTTTATTGTAAGACTACAGCAACAGAATTTAGCAAATACGGAGGTACAGATTTGTCACCCTTCACTTTTAACTGCTTGATCCACTGGAGTGTGCTAAGTTTCTTCCCCTGACCATTAATCCACTGGGGGATCCTTCCTCTCTTATCTGTTTCCTAGGCAGCATCTTTTTTCCATTGTTCCTCAAGGTCATCCTCACATTCCATTCCATCCTGCAAGCCATCTAAACCTCCAACTGACTGACTTCAGGCTGTTCGGCATCCTTCCTGCACTGCAGAGATTTATTTCTGCTTCCATTGCAGTGCTTTAGCCTGACTGGGATATGCTTTCATGCATTACCTTAACAAGGGGCAGACTCACCCACAAAAAAAGACACACACACACACACACACACACACATCTAGGAAATGTTTGCGTAGTACTCCTTTCAGCATCAAACAGCGTCAATATTTCTGTCACCTGAAAGAGGTGCCAAACATGTTTTGGCAGAAAGCACCTCCCCCTGGAGATAAGCTGATGAGGACCCCCTGCTGTTGAAGCAAACAGCCCCCTTCTTTTTCCCCCCTTCCTGCTCAATGGGCTGCCTGAAATTAAATTCCTCTCAAAATTACACCGAGTAAGGCGGCGGGAGGATTGCCAGTCACTCAAACCTGCTATTCTTAAGGGAAGATTTAACACATTTTTTTTAAGCACAAGGCTCCTTTTATGCATTGAGTCACTTGGATCTTTGGGTGATCTTTTTTCTTTTGGAGGGGTGGGTGGGTGGGTTTCTTGGCTTGTTGCATTATTCATTTCTCCACCTTGGAATCCCACGCAGCAGAGGAAATCCGGCGATGACACAATTAGCAGAACCGGCCAAGAAAAGACAGTTTGTACCACGCAAAATGTGCCTCTCCCACAGTTCTGCCTGATGGCATTGGGAATGAGCTGCTGAGCAAGAGCGGAAGTCACGCATCACGGCTGGCTGCCGATGCACCAGTTCTTCAAAGCTCACCCAGCGGTGCTGAGATCCAGTCATACCCAGCACCCCTGCAGAGTCCCGAGTTTGGACCAGCTCTCAGCCTTAGCATCAGCCTTAAACTGAGTTACCCGGCTGGTAACTCAGTTGGCACACCCTGCAGGGGGTAAAAGCTAAACCCAATAAATCTCGAAGTTCTTGGTGAAATCCTGGGCTGCGAGGTGGGCAGAAGAGACAAGGCTGCAGGCTTAATGGGCAAGGCTCACTTTGCAGGCCCATGTTCATGGGCCGGGGGTGGGGGGTGGTCCATCTTACAGAATAACAGTGATGGAAGGGACTTTGGAGGTCTTCTAGTCCAACCCCTTGCTCCAGCAGGAGACCCTCTACCATTCTGGATAAATGGTTGTCCAATCTCTTCTTAAAAACCTCCAGCGTTGGCAAGCTGAAGGCAAGCTCTTCCACTGGTTAACCGTTCTCACTGTCAGAACTTCCTACTTAGTTCTAGATTTCTCCTTCATACGTTTCCATCCGTTATTTCTTGCCTTGCCCTCAGGTGCTTTGGAGAATAGGTTGTCCCCCAGAAGAGGCCGGATCTCCACTGACTGGCTGTCAGTCACTGTGGACAATAACGGAGAAGGAGAAGCTTCAGATGGCTTGTGAGGCACCTTTCTAGGCTTCTGTGAATCCTGGCGCCACCCACCGGCAGCTGGCTGAATTTGGGCTGCATTTTTCTTTTGCAGGGCAGGGGACTTCGTGATAATGATGCCTGAGAGAGGAAAACCCTTAGTGCAGACAAAAGGAAGACTGGGACATTTTCTCCTCTTCGTCCTCATGTTAAGAGCTGGGGGTCAGCCAACCAAAACCGTTTGGCACTTGATTCAAAGCAGACAAGGCGTGACAGGCTTCTAGAGAATTCGTTGCTTTACACCAGGGCTCTTCAAACTTGGCCCTTTTATGACTTGTGGACTTCAACTAGAAGAAGAGGAAGAGGAAGAGGAAGAAGAAGAAGAGGAGGAGGAGGAGAAGAGGAGGAGAAGAAGAAGAGGAGGAGGAGAAAAGAAGAAGGAGAAGAAGAAGGAGAAGGAGGAGGAGAAGAAAAGAATAGAAAGACGGTGGCAAAAGCAAGCAAGGGTAGTACCAATAGTAATAGGCGCCTTGGGTGCAATCCCAAAACAACTGGAACACCACTTGAACACCATTGGCATTGACAAATTCGCCATTAGTCAACTGCAAAAGGCGGCCTTACTAGGAACTGCTTCCATCCTGCAACGATATCTGTAATACCATCAAACATCCACATCTGCCTATCCCAGGTCCTTGGTAAGGACTTGATGGGTAGGCAAAAATGCCAAATCCAGTCTGAACATCTGGCTGACTGTGCAATGATCTATAATAATAATAATAATAATAATAATAATAATAATAATAATAATAATAATAATAAAGTTTGAAGATACCTTGGAGGTCATCTAGTCCAACCCCTTGCCCAGGCAGGAAACCCTATACCCTTTCAGACAAATGGCTGTCCAATCTCTTCTTAAAGACTTCCAGTGTTGGAGCATTCACTGCTTCTGGAGGCAGGTTGTTCCACTGGTTAATTGTTCTAACTGTCAGACCATTCTGGGAGTTGAACCCCACAAGTCATAAAAGGGCCAAGTTTGAAGAGCCCTGCTTTACACGCTAAAAGGAGAGATGATCAGCTCAGAGGGAAGGGATGCGCCCTGTGCTCAGGCCTTGAAGGGGACTCTTTCGTAAGGTATTGAAGAACGAAAGTACAGGTAGCCCACAACACAGTTCATTTAGTGACTATTCAAAGTTACACCGGCACTGAAAAACGGGACTTGTGACCATTTTCTTAGTTACCGCCTTTGCAGCCTCCCCATGGGCACGTGATCAAAATCCAGCCACTTGGCAACTGGCTCGTATTTAGGGTGGCTCCAGAGCCTCTTCTGCAGCCTTCTGACCAGCCAAGTCGATGGGGAGGCCAGGTTCACTGAACTGCAGCGATTCACTTCACAACTGTGGCGAGAAAGGTCGTAAAATGGGGCAAAACTCCCTTAACGAATGTCTCCCTTTAGCCACAGAAATTCTGGACTACAACTTCCATGAACGGCCATACTAGTGGATGTGATGGGTGGTACCTATGATGGGAGCCACATTTCAAGAGCCTGAGGTTGAGGATGGATGTTCTGCAGAGTGAAGACTGCAGGAGAAGCTCAGAACTAAAATCAGATGTTCTTCCTTTCTGCAAAAATGGATCAGGACAGGCGAGGCATTGCGTTTCTCTCCCCCCCCCCGCCTTCTCTTTGTTCTTAAGTGTCTCGTAGAGCAGAGCAAGCTGTCTGATCATCCATGCCTTGCTGACTCCCCAGAGAACTCTTTCTGTTGATGTTCTCCTGAGGATTCCCCTCGTAAGGCTGGGGGGGGGGGAAACCTGTTGTCGTCACAGGGGAGAAATGTGCATTTGTTCAGCTGCTTTCACAATGCCTCCTGGGGCAGTTCATGTGAGGAATCACCCAAAGAATCCTGTCCCGTTCTTGTGTTCACACGGCCTGCCAATAAACGCATGATGGGAGTGTTATGAAAAAGCGCCACTTCGTAGCCGGAAGCTATAGATGTTGCTTGTGAGGTTCTTATGAACGGTTTTAAAATGGGCCAGGAGAAAGCTTCCACGCAGGCATCGTTGGCTGCCAAACTTCTTAGATTTAAGCAACTGCCCACAAAATCTTTCAAGGATCCACAGTGCAGATTCAGTGGAATCCATCAAAATCTAACACTAGGATTCTTACCTATCATGATGAGGAATGGGAGAGGAATCTATGCAGCTGTTCAAGAAGACTAAGAGGAACTGACCACTACAGAGCGAAGATCCCAAGAGGAACAACGGTTGTGGACCACCCCTCATTGCCCATCTACACACACCACTTCCCAATTTTTTCCCGGAAGAACTTCTTGCTTACCTGTCCAGGGATGGAAGGAACAGTTGCCTTTTCGGGGGTCAGCAGGCTGCCTGGAATGTCAGACTGGTAGGAGATGGGAGGCGGCCCAGGGTTGAATTCATTTAACGTCGGGGTGCCGGGGTTCACAGTGGGGAATGAATCTGGGTAAGTTCCAGAAAAGGTTGAATCTGAAACAAGAAGTAGTAGTCAGGGGGAAAAAAAAAATAATCTTTCAGAAAAGGCTTGTGGGATACTTATACAAATATTTTGAACGAAGGTTAGTTCTAACTCTCGGCAAGTCATCATATCATTATGGTTTCCGAAGCAGAACATCCAGATTCAGTCACAATTTTTTTCCATACAGTATTAACCTCGTGTACTCTAAAGCTTCCTCCTTCCGTTATGTATTCAAGATGGACAGTGATTAATATTTATATGTTACATATATGTAAGGGTGTAGGTCTATACCCATGTTGTATATAGTATGTTTTAAATGTGTGTTATGTATGCGTACACTTTGAGAGCAAGCAACTAAATTTCATTTTTAATGTGTGCCGTTGTGCCCACGGTAAAAAATGGCAATAAAGGTTTATCTATCTATCTATCTATCTATCTATCTATCTATCTATCTATCTATCTATCTATCTATCTATCTACCTACCTACCTACCTACCTACCTACCTACCTACTCTGTGGATTATGTTTCAATTTTGAATGGAAGGCTAGGAATTGACCTTCAAAGGTGGCTGGACAAAATGAAATCAAATTAATTGACATTTTATTAAAGTTTTATTACATTATACTTTATGAAAGTTAGAAATGAATTTATCTAAGCTAAATTCTCTACATACTTACGTAAAAGTTATCTATCTATCTATCTATCTATCTATCTATCTATCTATCTATCTATCTTTCTATCTATCTATCTATCTACCTATCTATCTATCTATCTATCTATCTATGTGCTATTGATGTCCCTCAAGATCTGAGCCTTTCCCCTCTCCCCCCAGGGCTCGGAGCTGACTCACTTTGGCTGGTGTAGTCGCTGGCGCCACCCCCAGCAGAAGAGGACTGCAAAGATGCAAAAGGCGAGGGCCCCGGTCCCAGGGCCGCAATCATCTCCATAACGCTGGGCATCACCATGTGGGTAGGACTCATGGTACGGCAACGCTTCAGCACGGGCCCGTCCTGTTCCTCCTTGATGTGGATGTCGGGCTTGATCGGGACCGGCTTCCAGCTGCACGTCGGGTCGATGGTGATCTCTTCATATTCGGAGCTGGGTAAATGGGATGTTTGCACACGACAGTCAACCCTTGTCCACACACATTGTGGATTTATGCAACCACAGAGTTATTCACAGGACATAAAGCATGCTGGGCTGCGCAAGGGGGCTGGGCTCAATGGCTTACATGGCCTCTTCCAACCCTGGAATTTTAGACCTCTACACAGGACTTCTTGATCATGAGCTGGTAACCTTGAACTGCCCATAAGATGCACCAGGTGCCAACCTTCATTATTTCCAGCCTTTTTCGGCTAAGAGGTCATTGTCTAGCCCACAAGGAGGAAAAGCCAAAATTAAAAAAGGAAAACAAATGAACAATCCCAAAGGGTTCTAAAAAGAAGAAAATCTCTCAATGGTTTTAAGGTGATGGTTAACTGCTGCAAACTAGCGGTAAAAATGCCTCACAAAAATTTGGGGGTTGGTGTCGAGGGGCTTCCAGCTTAGGTTTCTGGGGCTACATGGATGGTCGCCTCTGTTCTTAGCAATGTTGTTTTACTCGACATTATGTCGTTTGGAGAAATACATGACAGAATATAGTACGCTGCTTGTTCTGTTCTTCACTGAAAAAGAATGCTTGTAAGCTGATTACTGATTGCATTATTAGGCAAACAACAGCTTATAGGAGTGCTATTGTTACTCCACCCATGGAACAAGCTCTAGTGTGTTCCATGGGGCTGTCATCAGATGGACTTCCTTGGAGAAGTCTTTCTTCTACCAACGCTGTGATCAGAAATGCAAGCCTGACAATGTTACGGGAATTCAAATGAGGGACTGTGACTCTAGAGCAGTGGTTCTCAACCTTCCTAATGCCGCGGCCCTTTAATACAGTTCCTCATGTTGTGGTGACCCCCAACCTTAAAATTATTTTTGTTGCTACTTCATAACTGTAATTTTGCTACTGTTATGAATCGTAATGTAAATATCTGATATGCAGGGTGTATTTTCATTGTTACGAATTGAACATAATTAAAGCATAGTGATTAATCACAAAAAAAAATATAGCAATGCTTGCTGGAGAAGCTTACTCTTCCTTGCTCAAAAATGTTGGGAGGGAGGGAAGGGGAAGGAAGATTGAAGGGGGAAGGAAGGAAGGAAGGAAGGAAGGAAGGAAGGAAGGAAGGAAGGAAGGAAGGAAGGAAGGAAGGAGAAAGAGATTGAAGGGGAAGGAAGGAAGGAAGATTGAAGGGGAAAGTAAGATGGAGAAGGAAGGAGATTAAAGAGGAAAGGAAGGAAGGAAGATTGAAGGGGAAAGGAAGGAGATGGAGAAGGAGATTAAAGAGGAAAGAAAGGAAGGAAGATTGAAGGGGAAAGGAAGGAGATGGAGAAGGAAGGAGATTGAAGGGGAAAGGAAGGAAGGAAGGAAGGAAGGAAGGAAGGAAGGAGAGAGAGAGAGATTGCTTAATATTAGGACATTAGGAAAAACTCACAGCATCATGGTCATGTGATTAAAATTCGGACAGTTGCAACTGGCATGTATTTTAAGAGGGTTGCCATGTCTCGGGATCATGTAATCAGCATTTTTATCACCTTCCCAGACAGCTTCTGACAAGCAAAGTCAACGGGGGACGCCTTGTTTAGCAATGGAAATTCTAGTTCCCAGCTGAGGTTGTTAAGTCAAAGGCTACCTGTAATGACCAAGTTAGGCTAGTTCAGCACTGATCACAGCTGATGGTGCTAGGCAGCGCTCAAGCTCCCGAATGAAAAGGAGGGCATCGCTCAGTTAAAATAATTGTGCAGTTGGCTGCTTGCGGTCACAATCCAGGCACAATCTGGTACAAAGGACCTTTCCAAGGCTACACTCTTCAGTGGGAGGATGACCCCTTCCCAAACAGCCTGCTTTAACTGTAGCATGGCCACCCCCATTTTGAACTCATGCAATGCAACAGTCAGAATGCAGTCAGGAACTAGGAGAGACCTTAACTCTCTCTCTCTTTAGTAATCCTCAGGCAGCTTGCAAATACCTAGGTCCCCCCCACCACATTTTCCCTTGCCAGAGGGAACGCAGTGCATCATACACAAAGGCAGACCCTCTCTGCTGCCTTTCTGCCCTGCTGGTGGAATCTAGTCCCTTTTCCTTCATGCAGTGCAATGCAACTGTTTTTTTTGGGGGGGGGGGGGAGGGAGGAACAGGAAGCCCTCAAATGGACGTCTTGCCTGTTAGCTGCACTTGCAAGGCACTCCTGGACTACCACAGCTTGGGGAAAGAGAAGCTGGAGAGCAGGTGGCTACATACTCTTGAGCGAAAGCAGAGTAGCACCAGGGAAGTGGAGGTACATCAATATAACCAACCAGCCCTCAAGGAATGAAGGGTTGCCCTCAAGTTGAAGAGTGCTGATTTGATTACGATTAACTGCCAGCTTCTTGGGGTAGCTCATGAAGACGGGGGGGGAGGGGGGAAAAGAGGGAAAGATGTGGAAGGAGACCAAGTGAAAGCAACCAAGTAGGTTCAAAAGGATGCAGCCAGTTCACACGCGGTTCAGCTACCACGCAAAGAAGAAAGGAGAGTTGGGGGGTCTTGTTCTAATTCAGATCCGCTCAAAGCAGATAGCATCTCCCTCAGCTTTGCCATGGGGATGATTGGCATTTCCTTCAAGGCACAAAAGGCAACCACATAGTCACCCCTTCCCCTCCAGGAATCCATAACAACCTCATAACCACCTTGTGAAGGTGGCTTGCCCCTTTAGGGCATCCCAGGCAGAGCTCTGAACCCTGGTTGGCCTCTGTTATGGGTTGAGAGTAGCACTTGGGCTTCTTCTCAAAAGCCTTCTTTCTAAGATCTGCAGGTCTACCTCATACCCCTCCGTCAGAACAACCGAGTACCTTTCACAGATACCATTTCTATTTCTCTTCTAATATCTTTAGATTTCGTCTCATCTCAAACATCAACGTGGAAGAAGCATCTATGAACTGGGGGGGGGATGGGTAACAGCCCTGGTTTGCCCCTCGGTGGCATTAAAACAGCACCCCCCCCTCACCCCAGTTGGCTGAATCCCCAGCTGCTTTGTGTAAAGGAATGAAAAGACAGCAAATCCCAAGAGACTCACTTTTGAATATAAATCAGGATTCCCAACATGTACTGGTCCACTTCAAGCCCTTCCAACAAGGCTGTTTTACTGAGAGAAAGAAGAAGAAGATATAAGGTGAGGGGTGGGGAGTGAACGTACGCAAGGCTCCGATGGGCTGCAGCTGCAAAAAAATTTCAAACCGTGTGGAGAACGGAGTTGGAGTGGGGTATACCTTTTGGCTGTAGAAGGTTTTAAAAGTGAAATAAAAGCAAAAGCACTATGCAGCCAGCCAGACACCTGATTATAATTTTAAGAAGGGAAAGGATGTTGGGACAAACTCTGTCCCCGTCTGGATCTTGTTGGGAAGCAGAGCCCAGACCAAGAACAAATGCTGGGCCTTGGTCCTGTTGTTAATTAACTGCCAGCCTTTAAGACAGTGTTTCTCAACCTTGACAATTTTAAGGCATGTGGACTTCAACTCCCAGAATTCCACAGCCAGCAATGCTTGAGTTGAAGTCCACATGCCTTAAAATTGTCAAGGTTGAGAAACACTACTTTAAGGGCTCCGTTTTGTGAACAGCTCTTGACTTTAGCCCAGGAACCAGTTGACAGTGAAGAGGAATGGAAGGAGAACTATTGCTTTTAGATCTTCTTAGGAACTGTCCAACGCAGGAGTACCTGGCTGGCCACAATAAAAAGCTACAGAAAATTATCCACAACACTTTTTCCCCCAACCATGGGAAACTTTAAGATGTGTGGACTTCAACTCCCAGAATTCCTCAGCCAGCAAGCCCACACATCTTAAAGTTCAACGCATCTTAAAAGTTCCCAAGGATGTGGAACACTAGTCCAGAGCTTTTCTCTACTAGACTGCTTTCCTAATGAAGGTCCTTTCCTGGATTTAATATCCCAAATGTCTTTGAAGAATGCCACACCCCTCCCCAAATATAAATACTCACTTGCAAACAGGACATCTCCACGTCCCCCTTTCACAGTTTAGCTGCAAATAGGACTCCAAGTCGAAGCACTGCACAGAAAAAACAAACATACACACACACACACAAACAGGACTCGGTTGTGCAAAAGGGTTTAGAAACCAACACCAAAGGCTTTGGGGACAAGGGCAACTGTCTAATCTCAGGAAAGTTTGATACTCTACTACAGGGGTCTCCAAACCTGGCCCTTTTATGACTTGTGGACTTCAACTCCCAGAATTCCTCAGCCAGCGTGCCTGGCTGAGGAATTCTGGGAGTTGAAGTCCACAAGTCATAAAAGGGCCAAGTTGGGAGACCTCTGCTCTACTGGACCCCTTGCAAGCTTCCCCTGCTGCAAGAACCACTGATTGGGGGTTTCTTGTTCTCTTCCCTTCAACAGCCCTCCTCCCTTTGTCGGCAGCTGCAGGGCTCTGTTCCCACCTTCTCCGCTAGCCAGAGAGTAGGAAGATACGGAACAGAGACTCACCTGTATGTGCCTGCAGTCGTGACCCCTGGCGGGAAGCTGGATTCTTCGAAAAGTAATGGGGCACTTCAGAGACACCTTAATGGCTGTCTGCTCCACACCATCTTCGCCATTTGGACCCGGAGTCCCAGGGATTGTGCCGCTGCTGAAGTTGCGTTTGACTAAGGATGGAGAGGGAAAATAGCAATAGCCCTTAGACTTATATAGAGTCAGTTTACAGAGTCAGCCTATTGCCCCCAACAATCTGGGCCCTCATTTTACCGACCTCGGAAGGATGGAAGGCTGAGTCAACCTTGAGCCAGACAGGATCGAACTCCTGGCAGTGAGCAGAGTCAGCCTGCAATACTAACATTCTAACCACTGCACAGTGCAGACCCGATGGTCCAAAAGGCAGACTTGACAGACCACCGGTTCTGTTTTTGCTGTCAGTTTTCTGTTTCTATATTTCTAAGCAACTCAATAGGTTGGGAAGGCCAGCAGAGTTGGAAAAGGGTTAAGATGGGAGCACAGGAGGCCTTTTCTTGCTTCCTTTATCATTTTGACTTTTCCTGCCTCTATCCATTGGCCCATAGCCTGACCCAATACATAGTATTCCAAACTCACCTAACAAAGATAAGAGCTTTTTACATCAAGACGTTCTGTGAATCAGGGGATCGCCATAATTAATTCCACCTCCCTGGTCCATCTGACGATGCAGTCCTCCTCACAATCATTTGTTTAATGAGTGTTTGAAGTTACAGCAGCGCTCAAAGAAAAGTGGCTTGGGACTGGTCCTCACCCTTACAACCTTCACGGTGTCCTTGTGCCATGCTGTCAAAATTCAGACACTCAGCCAACAGTAGGTATTGATGATGGCTGCAGCGTTCCAGGGTCAGGATCACCATTTGCGACTTTCCCAGACCCAGTAAAGTCAAAGGGAGAAGTCAGATTTGCTTAGCAGCCGTGCCGGTGGGCGAATTCTGGGCGTTGAAGTCCACAAGTTTTAAAGTTGCCAGGTTGGACATCCCTGCTCTACGCTCTTCTGTTCTGTTTTCAGAACAGCCTTTTCTAACCTGAGTGTTCGGAGTAGTTGGATTCCCATTGGGCCTCCTCCAATGACTTACAGGCAGTATGGAAACCTCTGCCTTTCCTTCCCTCTCCTCCTCCTCAGCTATGCACTTGTGAAGCAGCTGCTCCGTTGTTATGCATCTCTGATCTCAGCATAGTGAAACTCTAGAGCAGAGGTCCCCAACCTTTTGGGCACCAGGGGCCAGTTCCGTGGGGAGAGGTTTTTCCGCAGACCGGAGAGTGTGCGGATTTCCTTCTCCCCAGAGAAGGAAATATTAAAAGGACAGAAAAATATATTTCCTCCAGGGAACTTAAAGAGACAGAAAAGCATGCCCAGTTTTTCTTAATAGCCCCAAGTCTGTCTCCCCCAAGCAGAAGCCAGTTCTGTACAAATGCAGATGTAAACCAGGAAAATTGGAGCTAGAAGCTTAGGAAGACAAAGAGACCTAAAATCTGCATACCCCACCCAAACTCTAAGAGTCATTAGCCCCAGCACCAGGGAAGCAGGATATGACCTTTGGGACATAATAGGATTAACTCACAGATGCCAAAGGGACACAGGTCAAAATACATGACACAGGAAATACAAAGCTCCGAACAGGAACAGGAAATAACTCCAAACAAAAGGCTCCAGAGGGTATAAAAACCCACTCCCTACATGTGCTCTCTCTCTTTTCTTCCAGAGCCATCTTTCTGTCTGGCTCTCCTCTTCAATAAACTGTAACATTCTTTCTAAAGCTGTCGCCATGTTGTTTATCCCTGGCTTGGACTGAACCACAATGAAGACTTTTCTTTCAACAGTGTGCTGCCTGCATCTTGCGGATGGGGCTTTGCTTGTTTGTGCGGACCGGTTGCTGGCATGCCGTGGCCCGGTACTGGTCCACGGACCAGGGGTTGGGGACCCCTGCTCTAGAGGAATCCTGCTGATGGATTTTACTCCCCTGAAGAACCAGGCCAGGCAGTTCTGTCTCTTGAGCCAGACTTTGCAGAGGTGGGGAAGGATGCGGAAGAGCAGAGACGCTACTCACTTTTGGTGATGCAATGCTCGGCCGGCAGCAGCCGCTTCTTGATCAAACCTTGCAAAACGGACCGTACCGAAGGCCTGTGCACCAATTGCAGGACAAAAAGGTGGGACTAGAACAAAGAAAGAAGAGAAGTCACCCCAGGCAGGGCTAAACACACACTCACAGTTTGTGTTACACGAGAAAGCAGCTCAGATCTGCCCTCTTCAGCATGTCTTGCTTCCTGCCATAAAACGGAGGGAGGGGGGGAGAAGAGGATGGGGTAGTAGGGAAGTGAGGAGGTAGGAGGAGGGGGAAAGACAGAGTGACAGGAAACAGAGCTGTCAATCCGGAACAAACCAGCTGATCAAGGACGGAGCTATGAGAACGGAATGCGGAAACTCAACCTAAGAGGCGCCAACCCCCAAAGCTGTTTCCAAAACATTGGAGTAATATGATTGGACACTGATGGGTTGGTCAAGACGTGAGGGCCAGGGAGATGGGAAAATTGTGGGCTTTGCATGGGAATATTCAGATCCAGCTTTGCTTATGCTGTAGCTCAGGGCTCTTCAAACTTGGCCCTTTTATGACTTGTGGACTTCAACTCCCAGAATTCCTCAGCCAGGCACACTGGCTGAGGAATTCTGGGAGTTGAAGTCCACAAGTCATAAAAGGGCCAAGTTTGAAGAGCCCTGCTGTAGCTGCTTGACTACGCTGAACCTTTCACTTCAACGAAATGGAGTTCAAGACTCTTTCTTTCCTAAAGGTCCAAGTTGGGACAAGCCTGACACCCAGAGAAAAAGGCTCTTCTGAACCCAGAGAAATGGGTATTTTAACCCAGGAACCAACCAATGAAAACAGTATGAAAAGGGGAGGGAAATGGTACCACATATAGCACACAACCGACTTATGAATTGCTGCTGCTGCAAGGAATGACAAAGGCAACTCCGCTGGCTTAAAATAAGGGAATGTCCCCTTTATCCTGAACTTCCCACATCTGTGTGGATTTAGAGGCACAATTCATCCAATTATGGGTAGGCCAAGACCATCTTCCCCAATCTGGGGTTGTCCTCCGAGTATGCTGAGACTGCAGTCTGTAGAATTTGGTATCCTAAAGCAAAGGTCCCCAAACTTTTGGGCACCAGATACCAGTTCCGTGGAGAAAGGTTTTTCCATGGAGGGTGTGTGGTTTTGTGTGCTGCCTGCATCCCACGGATGGGGCTTTGCTTGTTTGTGCGGACCGGTTGCTGGCATGCTGGGCCCGGTACCAGTCCATGGACCAGGGGTTGGGATCCCTGTCCTAAAGGAATCTGGGAGTAGCCATCTCCATCTACCCAATATATCTCAAGTTGGGAAAAGCTGATACAGGAATTTAGAGAATTAGAACAACTGGCATTGGGGGACTAGATGTCCATCTGTTATGAAGCAGCCAGGCGTATCAATACCCCTCACAGCAAAACAGAGGCTCAGAGAAGCTGCTATCTTCAGCCGAAAGGCCACTCCCAAACAAACAGAAGTTGAACTTACACAGCAGCAAGCCGTGACTGTGATCTGGATGGTGTTCCTGCCGGGCTGGCAGACCTGCTTTAGGTAGAGGGGCTTGTGTGAAGTCTTGTTGTCTCCCCGCTCGATGGTCAGAGGAGTGGCATTCACGCTGACCTGGACTGAGGCTGGCCAGTTGGTGTTCATTTGTCGGTCCTCGTGATGGTAGCATTTAAACTGCAGCTCTAAGTCAGGCCTGAGAAGCAAAGAGGAACCACAAAATGCCTTTTTAAAGAAAACGCTCGTGGTGCCTTGGAAAAGGCAGGGAGACCAAAGGGATAAGAACTTTGTAATGGGAGAAAACTCTGGTACGGTCTCTTGTCCCAATCTCTTTTAACCATAAACCTGTGGACCTCAATTCCTGCTGAGAATTGTGTTGCTGGAGCACAATTCTCAGCAGCCCCAGCAGACACTCCAAAAGCAATGGGGCTGAGAACTGTAGCGGAACAACAGCTGGTGGACCACAATTCCTCATCCCTACTGTAGACTCTTCTCCCTGGGAATGCAGAACCTCTCCATAGAGCAGGGTTTCCCAGGTATATGAACTTCAACTCCCAGAATTCCACAGCCAGTATGGCCATTGCTGAGAATTCTGGGAGTTGAAGTCCTCTCACTTTTCATTCACCAGGAGTGGGAAACATTGTCCTACAGCAGGGGTCTTCAAACTTGGCCCTTTTATGATTTGTGGACTTCAACTCGCAAAATTCCTCAGCCAGGCATGCTGGCTGAGTAATTCTGGGAGTTGAAGTCCACAAGTCATAAAAGGGCCAAGTTTGAAGACCCGTCCTACAGACCCCTGTTCCCAGCTGAGCAAAGTTCTGAACTAATTAAATTATCAGGATAATACCCAAACACCTGCCCTAAATAATAGAAACGGAAGTAGTTAACAATTGGTTGATAGCTGCTTTTTTCCCCTTTAACTCCCTACAACCTTTCCTCCCGTTTCTCAACTGACAAAGCAAATCCTTGAATTACCTCGCTCGCATTTTTCCCCCTCCAGAATACTTTCATCTTTTTCCAGAACTTTCATCTATCTGCGAAAGAGCGTCTCACAGAGTTCAAGTGATTGCCAGATGCAGCCCAGAGAGTCGGAATAAAGCAAAAACCCGCCGTGGCTTTTCACAAAAACAGCCAATTAAAATATTCCGCCTGAAGGTGGTGGACTGGATGATTCTCAGAGCTGTGCCAGTTCAGAAAGGATATTTGGACCAAGGCTGTAGAAACATCAGGGGGCAAATGTGCTATTATACAGAAAGGTGGAGCTGAGATCATAAATAAGTCCCAGTCAAAGAATCCTTTCTGATCCTCAGGACTGTTGGAGGTAGCATGCCAGTAACCCAGTTTAGAGTTTTGCTGTTTTGCTTTGTTCCAATGTGGACTCAAGAGTAACTTTGAGGAGCCAGTTGCAGCTTATCCTTGTTCCCAGCTCACCACTAAACAAAGACCCATGCAGTGTTCCCGTTTCAGCTTTCGGCCATCTTTCAAAAGCTGCCTGTGCTTAACAATCAACCAATTCTAAGTTGGAGAAGGCACAAGGGGATTCATTCGCTTAGTAGCATGAGCTTGGGGAAATCATCATCGCTCTCACCTGAGCATCAGAGTCTTGTAAACAGAGTCCCTGAGCTGGAAGACATGGTTGCTGACCGCCAAGTTGTGCTGCAGGCGGAAAGGCTCCAACACCACACCATCCCGTACAGGGAAGGTCAAACGCAACTCGTCACAAGGGTTCCCTGCTGGGACGAAACAAGAGAATGGGCTGATCATGAGCGGGAAGTGCACGGTTAGAGGTGCAGGGATGATGTGGGGCAGAGGAGCCAAGGCAGGTGTGGAGGGGGCTAGGCTGAGCCAGCAACAGGGCAAATAGTAAGTGACTGTCTGGGTTGGGGGGCATGGCAGGGGGCAGCCAGGTGGGAAAGTGCTGCAGGGGGTGTGAAGAACAGGCCTGCTTTCTGCCTTGACTCCACCAGGGCTCTCATTTCCTTTCCTCCCTCTAAGTCTGTTGAATTCTGCAAGCATTTGGCGGAACAGATTTTGGCAAGCCCTCTTCTTTCCCGTAGACTGTTCCCACTGCAAGTGAAGAAAGTCTCTCAAGATTTATTTATTTATTCCCCAGCACCAAACTGCCACTCCTTAACTGCCATGGAACTCCCCCGGCTCCCAAAATTCCATTGCTCTGCAAATAGTCCCAAATTCAAATCAAGGTCCAGAGCCCAGTCAATATGTAGAATCCAGAGGACGTTCCTCCAGGACTCAACCATTTTGAGTCTGCAGGGGTGTGTGTGTGTGTGCATTGAGATGTACAGGCACACCTGGGTGAACTGCTGTGTCTCATTTTGGGGAAAGATGCCTTGCTCCTTCTAAAGTAAAGAGGGAGAAGTCCAGGATGAATTTCTCTTGCTTTAAAAAAAAAAGTGAGTTTTGCAAAATGGATCGATACAGTCAAGAAAAGCTTTACCACTCGGATGCTATGTTGGTTTTTTCCTACCTTATTGTGTGCTACCCCGAGTCTCACAACCGGGATGGTCTACAAATATTGTAAATGAATAAATCAACTAACCAGTGAGTTGTCCTTACTATTTGATGTGCCATCCGCTCTTTAGCTAAGAGAAGCTATAAATCAGTCAGAATGGAATGGCTTTCTCGGTGCCTAAGACTTACCAGAGGGAGAAGGATGCAAAGAATTGATATTGGGTTTGATGTCTGGAAGGAATGGTGACTTCACATCCTGTCCTGGGGACATGTAGGGGGGGATATTACTTCCAGGGGTCATCGGAGGTGTGGGGTTACCAGGTAAAGGAGAGCTTGGGTAGCCAGGCATGGACCTTGCCGGCTGAAAAGAGAACAAAATCATAACTCAGGTGTCATTAAACCTTATGAAGCTTCAGCCCACCTTCTATTAAAAGCAATCCCAAACTTTACCCAATGGAGTACAAGCTGAAAGTCTTCTGAATATTGAACCAGGGAAAAGATGGCTGCATTTACATCCTACTGAATGCATATTTTCCAAACTAACATCCTTTAGAGGCTTGAACTTCATGGGCACAAAGGAGTGGGGGGAAAATTGCCAGGTCCACGTGCTGAGACTTTGCAGCTGTTAAGTTAGTAACGTGGTTAAGTGAATCTGGCTTCACCATTGAGTTTGCTTGTCAGAAGGTCACAAAAGGTGGATCACATGACCCTGGGCAATACAAAGGTCATTAAGTCTGAACCAGTTGCCAAGCATCTGAATTTTGACCACGGGACTGTAGGGGTGCTGCCATTGTCATAAGTCACTGTTTTCTGTCTCATTGTAACTCTGAACAGTCACTAAATGAACTGTCGTAGGCCGAAAACTGCCTGCACTAAGAATTATGCAATAGGAAGAATTATAAAAAGACTATTTAAAGTCGGGTGTCCAACCTTGGCAACTTTGAGACTTGTGGACTTCAACTCCCAGAATTCCCCAGCCAGGAGTTGAAGTCCACAGGCCTTAAAGATGCCAAGGCTGGACACCCCTGCTTTAAAGTATCAAACCCTCACATTTGTGCACGAGAGGACTAGTCCAGGGGTAGGCAACTTTGGCTCTTTTATGACTCATGGACTTCAACTCCCAGAATTCCTGAGCCAGCCATGCTGAGGGGAAAGGGAGAGGTTTCCAAGCTGAGCCATGCTGGCTCAGGAATTCTGGGAGTTGAGGTCCACGAGTCATAAAAGAGCCAAGGTTGCCTACCCCTGGGACTAGTCAAATAATCTAACTCTCAATGCAAGATCAAGACAGTATTTCTTCCTTGTGGGGACATTGGCATGATTTTCCTAACAGCAAGCAGAATCCAATTTGTTTTTACATGCCTGTTCTCATTTTTTGCTAGTCCTCAGCACCCTATGAATGGGCCAAGTGTTTTACAGAAGCAGCCATTTCCTTTTATCTTTATAGACTGCCTTCTAAAAAAATATTGCATGTCAACCTTCTCCAGCTGAACAGGCAGTGGGTAAACCAGGACATAAAGATGCGAGGCTTCCTGATTTACTGTAGATCACACTGTGATCACTGTGTACCAAATACGAGTTCTATTTATACTTCAATCGATGTCAAACTTCATGCCTTTTCTCCCACCTACTTTATAAAAAAGACATAGAAATTATTCTCTTGTAGATGAGAGAGACAGCTTACATCTCTATTTTCTTTTGGAGACTGCAAGATCTGGTATCAGGCTGTGTGCTTTTGATTATGTGAAAACTATCTCATGCTGCATATATTTCAACCCCCCCCCCATGTCCATTTTTTCCCCTAATTAAAAACAGTTGGGAAAAAATACACCCAACTTCAGCCACATAAATGGGAGGCTCTTGGAAATTAAAATATAGCATTATTTTCTTTTGAGTGAAAAGGGCAACTCTGATCCACAATTAGCCCCTTGAGATGATACAAGGGCAAAGGAATTAAAAACGGACAAAAAATAACTTGCAAAAGATGCAGGAGAGAGCGACTCTTGTTAGCACATCACACCCTTTCCTTAGGTTGGCAGAAATTTTTCTCCATTCCCCCCCCCCCCAAATGGAATAAGAACAGAAAAGATGCCAGTCAAGAATTGAGGTTGGTGGTAATTCTAGGCTAATATAAAAAAAATATACACAAAGTCAAAGCCTTGCTCACACAATGCACCATTTGCTTCAATTCTGCTTAAGAAACAAGAAAAATAACCCAACAAAGACCAGTATGTTGTGCTGTGTGTGTAAAAGGAAAGAGAAATGGATGAATCAGGGAATGTGTGAAGGGGTGTTCTGTGGATAACAACCAGGAAGAATTTTGTGAATCTATGTAAAACACATGAATAAATCATCTTGGAATGTAGAGAAGAGTGACAAAGATGATCTCCAGCTCCCTCACAGATGGGGAACTTGGAGGCTAAAACATACGAAGAATGGTTGCTGGAATTGGGTATGTCTAGTTTAATGAAGAGAAGGACAAGGGGGGACATGATAGCAGTCTTCCAGTATCTTAGGGGCTGCCACAAAGAAGAGGGAGTCAAGCTATTCTCCAAAGCACCTAAAGGCAGGACCAGAAGCAATGGAGGGAAACTGATCAAAGAGAGAAGCAACCTAGAACTAAGGAGAAATTTCCTAACAATAAGAACAATCAACCAGTGGAACCGCTTGCCTTCCGAAGTTGTGGAAATACAGCAGAGAGATAACACCTAGCATCTGCATCATTACCCAATATCTTAGAAGCCTCATCAGACGCAAACAACAACAGAACTCACCCCATTCATAGTAGCTTGTCCATAGCTATTGAAGTTGCTACCATTGAAATTGGCATTTTGACCATTGAACTGATCAGTAGGCTGGAAAGAGAAAAGCCAAAAACATTTGTCGTTAAGAGTAATCGGGGCCCTATTTCCCAAGGCAGGAGTTATCCATCAATCCAGTTCGCATCCCACCTTGATTCTTAAGCAGTGCTTCTCAACCTTGGCAACTTTTAAGATGTGTGGACTTCAACTCCCAGGATTCCCCAGCCAGCACGGGAGGTGAAGTCCACGCATCTTAAAGGTGCCAACGCTGCTCCAAAAAAATATTGAGCAGGTCCCATATTTCTATGTCTCGTTTTACCCCAAGAACAAATAGTAACAAACCGAAGATAGCTGAATTCTCGTGTTATATTAAGGTTTGGCCCCTCTAGTCATTTTTTGATCTATTTTCTTCAGCCCAGAAGAAGGCTTAACTTCACAGAGCTGCTGACTTAAAATCTCTCTCCAAGGAGTTTGCTATGCAATAGCCAACTCTACAAGTTGTGTACTTCTTAAATGTTAAGTGCTGGACACTGAACACCAAACAAGTCCCTAACAATGCAAAGAGATTGGAGCATGCAACCAGCTAAACATCTCACCCCTATTATGTTTATGTAACTCTTAACTACAGCTAGTCCTCCATTTACAACCACAATTGGGACCAGAATTTCTATTGCTAAGCAAGACTATTAAATGAGTTGTGCCCAATTTTAAAACTTTTTTGTAATTTTTAAGCGAGTCACTGCAGTGTTAAGTGACTCAAATGGTCGTTTAGGAGATCTGGCTTCCCCCATTGACTGGGAAGGTTGCAAATAGCGATCACACAACACTGCAAATCCACGCGGATTGAATTTTGATCAGAGGCTGTGATGGTTGTAACTGCGAAGAGCTGTTTTAAGTAACTTTTTTCACTGCTCTAACTTCAGTCACTAAACGAATAGTTGCAAGTCAAGAACTACCCGTATACACTATAGTATTATTGTTCTTGTAGGGTATTTTATATTGCTGGCCTGAGACTGTAGTTCATCTACATTTATACCATACACCAATGAGTGTCTTAGTTGGGTTCACACAGTATGGAAAAACAGTGCTTGCAGACAGGCTGTTCTGCAGATAGATGCAACTTTTCTACTGAAAGACGACTATGCCGACTATGGATTTGGGAAGGGGAAATTACATCTCTGAAAGAGAACCAGACTGAGGATGGTTGAATTAAACTGCAAGCTAAGGTTTACAAATGACAAAGATTAGATTCATACAGTGCAGTATACCAGACCAAAAAAAAAACAAACACCCTTGTGACTTAAGGTTAAGTGAACTAACAGAAAAAGGATCTGGATCCAGTTTCCCCAAGCATAATTACCTGCATTCGATTAAGTCCCAAAAAACAATGTTTCCCCCCCCCCTTTATTTGCTGGCTTACTCTATAACCTTGAGGGAACATTTTCTTCTGGCCTGTGAAAATTATTCAAACAACCTCCATTAACTCAGATTGGGAAGAGTTGTTCTTATGGCTGCTGGCTGAAGACTGGAATGAACAGAATATTTTAAAACCTTAAAACCGCTCTTTCCCCAACTGATTATTTTCGGGCAGGTGGGTTTCCTTTAGAATCCTCCATGATCATTGCCCAGAATTTTGGTAGCCGAAGACCCCACATCTGAAGAGCACCCCACATTAGAGAAGGCTTTCCTTACAAAATCATAACAATAATTGCGGAAAAAAACAGTGGAGATGCAGATCTCACTCTCCATCCTTAGGGAGATGTGATGCATTCATCATTCCATTAGGAATCTACTTTCTCTCCTTACAGGATGAATGTCTGTAGGTCTCTTTCACCTTCAGTGAGAATCTGGTACAGCGGTTACCATAGCAACGGAGTACCTTATAGTATGGGCCGCTAGTACTGGAGGCAGAGAGATAATGGCTCACTCCCTGTTGCAGTGGCAAACGGTGACCCGGATAGGAGGGGGATGGAGCAGATGGTTGAGGCACATTCGTGGCGTACTGTCCGGCTTGAGTGGGATACTGGCCACCTTGGATATATTGTTGCCCTGGATAACCCTGGAAGAGATCCAGAAAAAAAATAGGCAGGTGAGTGATGGCCACATACGATAATGTTGCCTAAATCCGTAAGCTGCTTTTAAAGAAGTAAATTGAGGAAGGGATTAACAAGAAGTACGTCAAGACTTTCAGTGAGTTTAGGCATCACCTGGAAGAATCAACCAGGGATGGTTTAAGGGTGTCTTACACCCCTGCTACCCACAACCCATCAAACCCTGGAAAAATGTTTGTCCCTCCCAATCTTCCCAGGCCCTGGGAGCCTCAGAGAGATGCTGGAGGGATGAGGGTGGTGGGGGCTGTAGGCCGCTTGCAAATGGCTCACCTCTTTGCTGAAAGGTTATGGGGAGACTCTGCTGGGTGCCCTCCCCCCTACATCTTACTTGGGACTGTCTCCTGGCGTTAATTTCTTTTCTAGATTTGACTGGAGGTGTGGTCCCTGTCATCTTGTTTCAGCTATAATCAGTGAGATTAAACGACTCGGCAAGGGCACGGTTTCAGCCAGTTAAGAGACAAAGCAAGTTCCCTAATTGTAGGCATCCAGATCAGACCGAGAATGCTAATTGCTAGGCTCCATTTCATTCATTTTGAGCCTGGATGAAATCTGCAGGTCCAGGAAAACTGGCAAGTTTATCAATATTTTAGGAGGGAGCCCAGAATGCCCAACATACTTAATAATTCTAATATGCTTTCCTGAGACTGGGCTCCCATGGGTTTATCTTACTACTTTCCATCCTCCTCACGAATTCTTTTATGCTTGGAGCCCTGAGTTAGTGGGCTCCAAAACTAGGGCTACAATTGAGTCCAACATTTCTGTTGTTAAGCCAGACATTGGCTTAAGTGAGTTTTGCCCCACTTTATGACCTTTCTTGCTACAGTTGTTAAGTGAATCACTGCAGTTGATAAGTTAGCAACCCGACTGTGAAGTGGGTCTGCTTGCCCCACTGACTTTGCCAAAGGGGAATCACAGGACCCCGGGGACACTGCGACCGTCATAAACACGAGCCAGTTGCCAAGCGTCTGAATTTTGATCATGGGGATACTGCAAAGGTCGTAACTGTGAAAAACGGTCATAAGTCACTTTTTTTCAGTGCCGTTGTGACTTTGAACGGTCACTAAATGAACTGTTGTAAGTTGAGGACTACCTGTAGTTTGGGGTAGGAAGAATTCCAGATTCCTTCCCTTCCTGTGTCTGCTCCTTTCTTTTCCTTAGACCAGGGGTAGGCAACCTTGGCTCTTTTATGACTGGTGAACTTCAACTCCCAGAATTCCTGAGCCAGCCATGCTGAGGGGAAAGGGAGAGGTTTCCAAGCTGAGCCATGCTGGCTCAGGAATTCTGGGAGTTGAAGTCCACGAGTCATAAAGGAGCCAAGGTTGCCCACCCCTGCCTCAGACTGAGCCCTTGTCGTTGGATGTAGGATGTTGACTAGTTTCTGCCAAGTCTGCATCTGTGACCTGGTCTCTAGGCAACACACCTACTATAAGTACTCAAAAGCTAGTACTACCTGTTTACTACACCACTCTTCCTTAATTCTACTGTAACTCCTATTCTTTCACTAATTCTTTTTGTGAATAACTCTTCTGTTTGCCTTAGGCTGCTTCAGCTATTTTACTGCCTCAAACACACACACACCACCTATCCCCGTCCTCTCACACTCAGCATACTGGAATTATATGCCCAGATACCAAAAGTGATATTGGTTGGAAATTCTAGAATTATAGTTCCAGCACAATGGAACAACACACAGATGGGGAAGACTGACACTCCTTAGCCAAGGACTCAGGTTGTAATCTAAGGTTACTCCAAAGCTTGAGTTTCAAAACCCTTCTGCCTTTGATACACACCTCGCTGGAATAAGTTCTCTTGACACTTTGCCGGGGCATCTGCTGGCCTTGTGGTGGAGTAGGGTAGCCGTGCTGAGGCATTCTCTGCCCGGCATACAAGGCGCTCATTGCAGGGGTCCTTGCTGTGCTCATGTTCATGGGCGACATCCCAGAGGCGTTCAACATGTTGGCTGGATTCATCCCGGGCGGTACAGTTGGTCCCCGAGGCCCCGAATGAGGGAGGAATTGATTGTTGAAAGGCTGCCCGGTACCCATCTCCAGAAAAAGAAAAAGGCGAGAAAAAATTAAATGGGATTCCATACAAAGCCAGACCTTAGGGAAATGTGTTTACAGGATCAACTAGGCTAGGGGTAGGCAACCTTGGCTCTTTTATGACTCGTGGACTTCAACTCCCAGAATTCCTGGCTGGCTCAGGAATTCTGGGAGTTGAAGTCCACGAGTCATAAAAGAGCCAAGGTTGCCTACCCCTGAACTAGGCCATGCTTGATGCTATAGCGGTCACAATTCTAATGTTTCTATTCAATTCAGCTGGCATTTCAGCACGAGACAGACAAAATGTTCACTCTGAAGTGCATGGCTAAATGTCCATGGGGAGTCTCAGTCATCCAGGTCATGGTTGCCTCAAAGGTGTTTTTTTCATGAGGCAACTGGACTTCCTTGTTTTTTCTTTGAAGACGTTTCGCTTCTCATCCAAGAAGCTTCTTTAGCTCTAGCTAGATGGTGGGGAATGGAAGAAAGAAGGGGAAGAAGCTTCTTGGATGAGAGGCGAAACATCTTCAAAGAAAAATAAAGAAGTCCAGTTGCCTTCTGAAAAAAGCACCTTTGGGAAGATATGAAATGGCACATCAACTGTAAGCCATAGCACTCTCATTTGCCGGTTCCTCACTTTGGCTCACAATTATTTCAACTCTAAGCCCTTGCAAAGTTGACTGTGCTCATTTCTCAGTAAACAGCTATCAGATCCCTCCCTCTGATGTGTAGAGTCTGGGATCAAAAAAGTTAATGACCCGCTCCCTTCTTTGTGTATTCTGACTATCATTTTTATTCATTTTTTTTCCTCCACTGGCTGTGCTAGCCTTGATGGACCACTGTTTGCCTTCCTGTTATGTGCACAGTCCGTGCCCTACAGGTGCTGCTGAAGGCTAGATCCAAAGAATGACACCGTGTCTGCTTGTACACAGAAGACCCCTGGCACTTTAGTAAAGGGAGAGAAAGGGCAAATAAAAGCCAAGGAGAAATATTTTGAGATGTAGTGTAGTTAGCAGTCAGAATAAGCAATGAACTGGATGAGTTGATACTTGAACAGCACAGCCAGTTTCGGGGGTTCACAGGGAACCATAAAGAAAGTTTGAAGGTCATCCTGGTCAACCACTGTAGAATGCTGTGATCCCAGCTTCCTGGCAGATGGACCAGGAAGACCCTGATTTCTAAGCATGAGAGGGAATATCATCTCTCGATTGAACACCTCTATAGGGCTATGTCAAAATGAAATTTCCTTCTCCATAATTCCTGTCTCCATGGCTTCTATCCCGTGTCTATCTCTGCAGCAAAAGAGAAGAAATCTACCTCATAATTTGGCTTCTAAAGTTGTGAGTGTTCCATCATTGGAGGCTTTTAAGAAGAGACTGGACAGCCACTTGTCTGGAATGGTATAGGGCAGGGATAGCAACCTTGGCTCCTTTATGACTCGTGGACTTCAACTCGCAGAATTCCTGAGCCGGCATGGAAACCTCTCCCTTTCCCCTCAGCATGGCTGGCTCAGGAATTCTGGGAGTTGAAGTCCACGAGTCATAAAAGAGCCAAGGTTGCCTACCCCTGGTATAGGGTCTCCTGCTTGAGCAGCGGGTTGGACTAGAAGACCTCCAAGGTTCCTTCCAACTCTGTTATTTTGTTCAATTGATAGGAATTCCCTTCGTTACTTCCAAAAACACACTGCCCAGCTGCCTTGTATTATTCACCACAATTTCATTCTTTGACTTCAGCCCATATTCTGGCCAGAGAACAGGAAGAGGAGGAGAGGGTTTATCTTCGCCCGGACTTCCAAGAGTGGACAACCTGTAACTTGTGGGCTGACTGCGTGTGATTCACCATCTTTGGGCAGGTGCTACTGAATGCTTCGCAATCCTGCCCCTTGGGCTTGTATCACAAAGTATAAACAGAAGGCACATCTCTCCCATCACACATCTCTCCCGCCATCTGGTTAGCACTTTCCATCACTCTTGTACCACATTAAAACAAACATGCTAAGCTTACCGCTCCGTACTGACTCAACTCCTGGCTCTGCTTTTCTTGCAAGGCAGCAACTGTGGCCGTGGCCGTGGCCGTGGCCGTTGCAGCTGCAGCTGCTACAGCAGCTGCAGCAGCTGCTTGGGTGAAGTCTGCCGGGGCTCTCGCAGTATGAGAAGGAATGCCCATTCCCCCTGGGCCATTTGGGCTCCCTGCATAACTAGAGAAAAGACAGGGTTTACAGCTTGGTTGCAGATGTTCTGCATATGCTCTAATGATGACTACAGTCTACTGTTGGAAGTCCTTAGGATCTTATTTGCCCAGACAGTTGCCGAATAGCTGGAACTCCAGGATGAATTAAAGGCAGGGGTCTTCAACCTTGGCAACTTTAAGACCTGTGGACTTCAACTCCCAGAATTCCAGGAGTTGAAGTCCACAAGTCTTAACGTTGCCAAGGGTGAGGACTCCTGACTTAAGGGATCTCAGAACTGCTGCTAACTGGAGGAAAAACAAGTGCAGGAAATCATGACATTTAGGAAACATGAATGGAGCAGAGAGAAGGGCTAGCGCTGCATCCTATTTTTTTTTTTTTAAGGCACTGGCTGGGAATATTTTAATCCCAAATACGGTTGGTCGTAAACCGCATCGCTCTTCAGCTTCTGAGACTCCTGTCCAAATTATAATGGCAAACATTGGGAATAATAACTTCTTTTGTTGTTTCACAAGGCTGTTGGACAGGTATGCATGCACGGGCAAGTAAAAGATCACAGGAAATCAAGGAATATAATTAAGATGTGGGATGCTCAACATTAAAAAGGGAGAGACAGAAAACAGGCATCTTTCTAGGCCACCGAATGCTGGTTGCCAAACCAAATTCCTCAGATGCTAGTGGCAGCCTGGATTTCTACATCTCGGTAAAATGTTTTGGGGGGTACGGTTAAGAACTCACCCTGCACTTTCAACTTCCATGAAGCGCAAGGAGCTGTGATGCCCATTGAAGCAAGGAAGGAGGATGATGTACAAGTAAAGCATCTGGGAGATTAGGCAACCAGACCTGTGACTATGAGGTGGCCATCACACATACACAACCTTTCCCCCACTGGCTTGGCACCAAGTAGCAGAAAGGGGCCGACTCTTGGTGCAATTACTAGCAAGCTCATCTCTTCCTATCTCTCTGGTGACTCTGCTCCTTTCACGGCACATAGGGTTGATTCACTAATTATATGGAAACGTTAAAGAATGTTCTAACTATTTTAAGATTCCAGAGAAAGAAGAAAATGAACTTTTTCCCAGGAGAGAGAATGGACAGAGGTGGGTGGGTGGGTGGGTAGATTCTCAGAATGGGTTCCCTACTAAGCCAGGGATCTTCAAACTTGGCCCTTTTATGACTTGTGGATTTCAACTCCCAGAATTCCTCAACCAGGCACACTGACTGAGGAATTTTGGGAATTGAAGTCCACAAGTCATAAAAGGGCCAAGTTTGAAGACCCCTGCGCTAACCCATGGTTGGCTTAGCCACACAAACTCTAGTTTACAAGTCGTAATGGCAGAATTCACTTGGCACACTAAAATGCATGTTGTGAGTTCAAAGTGTGTTTTCATGAATTAATGAAGGACGAGGGGTGACATGACAGCCGTATTCCAATTCTCAGGGGCTGCCACAAAGAAGAGGGAGTCAAGCTATTCTCCAAAGCGCCTGAAGGCAGGACAAGAAGCAATGCATGGAAACTAATCAAGGAGAGAAGCAACCTAGAACTAAGGAGAAAATTCCTGACAGTTAGAACAATTAACCAGTGGGACAACCTGCCTCCAGAAGCGGTAAATACTCCAACACTGGAAGTTTTTAAGAAGAGACTGGACAGCCATTTGTCTGAAATGCTATAGGGTGTCCTGCCTGAGCAGGGGGTTGGACTAGATGACATCCAAGGTACCTTCCAACTTTATTATCATTATCAAAATTCCCACTGGCATAATAAAAAAAAGGAAATGGATTAAATAGTGTGCTACAATTAGAAGAAATATTTTCTGCAACTCATCCAAAGGGGCGTCAATTTGCTTAACCTTAGTACTTCCCTAAGCTCTGAATTGTGAATTCATGATCTGTCAGAAATCATGCCAACATGCCAGAGGAAAACAAATATAGTGCTACTTCGGTACTCAACTCCTCTGAAAGTTGTCAAATTTGGTACTCGATGCATTTTGGTGCGAAAATTTTGTCCCAGGACTCAACGTTTTGTTTAGTACTTGGTGCACAAGCTAGAAGCTGCCAGTGACGGCTACCTTGTGACTTGCTACTTCCAGCCAAAACAAGGGGTCACAGGTTAGTCACGTGGTTTGTTTGGCACTCATCATTTTTAGTACTCATTGCACCTCATGGAACTATTAATGGCGAGTACTTCTCGGTTCCATTGTGTGTGCAAGTGCCTGGAATGGCTTGCAATCCAGGCATCCATGAGTCAAGTCTATGCCGTAACCAGGGTGTATCAAAAGTATTTTTTGAAGGCTGCACTACAGGTATGTTTGTCAACTTATGAAGGCTGGGACTTATTTCAAGAGACCACCTCTGTCTTCAGGATAGGGCAGCTTTAATAGACAGGGTTAAGCAGCCATTGAGCATGCGTAGTGCAGAATATTAAATTCCAAAAAGCCATCAGGAACTTCATTCTCTAGCTTTATTTTAGGCAAGGCAGCTTAGAAATGTAAAATGAGAAAACTCAAATAAGGAGCGGGTGCCTCCAATGGGCTGACCTCTTAAGAAGGCCATCTTTTGCCAGATACGAATGAGAGACGCAGGGAGGAATTCCTTGCAGCCCCAGACATGACAATCATTAAATGGGTGAATGGGTCAATGTTTAATCCGTTAGCTATATCAGCAATGGACTGCTGTATAATTTTGTCCCAAAATAAGCTGTGTTGTTGAGGAGGATTAATTCCTAGGGCGGGCATAGCGCTGCCCCCTGATTTTAACTAAACTGCTGATGTTGAAAAATGCTGATTGGAGCTAAGGTCTCCAGACAGGAGGGAGGATGAGATATGAGAAACTTCTCAAAGGGATCCCTCCCATTTGCAGACATGCACAGAGGGCCTTCAGTTTATTTGCTAGGGGCTTTTTATCTTTTCAGATTACGTTCACATTTACTGCCTTCCAGAAGACCCATCAGTTTTGAAGTGAGCACCAAAGAAACCAAACACAAATGGGTAATCAACAGTTCAGTGAAAGCCACCATGGGCAGAGAGAAATGCAACCCATGGGCCTCTTTTCCTGCTTCAATGCACAATCACTTGATTAGCTCATTGCACACTAGTAGTTCCAAGAACAACCAACCGGGTGAAATCCTTCCATCATGATATGGAAGTCATAGGTATACACTTTGTGAGTGATTCACTGTTGTGTAACTCATCCAGGACAGGCTTGGAGGCTTCCTGTATTGTATGACTTCTGCTCACTATGGTTGTCTCAACAAATTAACCATTTGTTAATGATTTCCTGTTCAAGGTACCACGTCTGCTGATCCAAACTACCTTGTGGTGAAGCCGGGCCCTCCTGGGTAGGAAGTACGACTGTACATCCCCGGTTGCACATAACCTTTGCCTGTTGAACCCTCAGGGAAAGGCTGCTGTCCCATAAATTGTGGTGAGTTCATGCCAGAGCCACTGCTGGCCACGCTGGGCATCATGGGATTGCCAGCGGTATTTCCTCCAGGACCCATGGGGTTTCCAAAAACCTGCAAAGGATCAAGGGAGGAGAGAGATTTGGACTAGATCAGCAATGCCAGGCTCTACTCTGTGGATCCAGCAAGATGTGAACAGGGATGAAGTAGGAGAACAAAATCTAGACAGTTAAAGAATCAGGTATTTCCATGCATGCTCTAAGTCAGAGGTCGTCAACCTTGGCCACTTTAAGACTTGTGGACTTCAACTCCCAGAATTCTGGGAGTTGAAGTCCACAAGTCTTAAAGTGGCCAAGTTCACGACATGTATTTTAGATCAGTTTAGTCCAAACATAGCAGCTTCCTCTGCATAATGCATCGATCAACGCCCAGATATACGAGGATGACTGACAATCCTTTTTCTTAGAGAATGTCAGCAACTTGCTGTAAAAAGCATTAGAGATCAATTGGATTTCTCTTTCATTTCTTTACAGATTAAGTAAATTCAGGCTTGCGACCCCTAAAAGGATGATGTGTATGGAGGGAAGGGGAAACAGGAACTTTCTCTGAGCTTTTAAAAACCACATAAAATTTATAGGACAGAAAATACTTAGGGACAGCCCATTCTAGCCAAATATTTGCTGCCAGTGTGTCTTCCAAACACCCAGCTTTGTAATCTGCTCAGGCTATTTAGTCTGGAGTAAATAAAACTGTCTGCTGTTGTTAAGTTAAATATCCATGAATAAAGGAACCCACAAAACAGCTAGAAAGACTGTTAGGAAGGTTGTGCTTTCTGACTTTTTTTTCGGAAGGGAAGGGACAATTTTTACAAATGTTATTTCTCTGAATTCCATCCATTTGCAATCAGATGAGACTCAGGTAATTCTGAGGTCCAATTCCACTTAAGGAGACCAAACGAAAGCAAACGTGTTGTGAAGGCCTTTTCTTCCCTGCAAGGCCTCACAGCTGAAAGAGACTGTTGTGCCGCTTGTGAAAAATCCAATATCTCCTCCTCATCCGATGCGACTTCGGTTAAGAATGTTTGGTAATTCCTGGTCAATCTGATATCTCACCAGCAGATGTCAGAAAAAGAGCCAGAATAATATAAATTAAGGTGCTGGGTTAAGCCCAGAGAAGTCCATCCTCAACTCAATAGCAGGATTTTAGCCCAGACGTTATCTCACAACTAGCCAGCTTCACAGCTTTGTTGTAGGAAAAATGGAAGGAAGAGCTACTAAATACAGTTTTATGTTCCTGGAGGAAAAGTAGAATATACATTTAATGAATGAGGTTGAACCCACATTCTACTCAGGCCTGCTCAGACACAAATCCCAAAATGAATTTGAAGAAACTCATCTTCCAGCAAAGCAAGCTCACTCTGGCAGTTTTAACTGCTTTTAAAGTGTCAAGGAGACCTACTGAACTTGGAACGCTTAGAATTGTGTTGTTAATTTAAATTGTAAAATTTGCAAGGTACGTGGCTGAATTACAGGAGGCTCATTTCATATCTTGCCTGCTCTCCTTCAGGCTCCCTTCTATAAACAAATAATTTTATTTCCTCATAAGCCACAAATGTTTTCGTGTTTGTTTTGTGGCTTGAGCCGTGTGAAAACTAATTAGTCTAAAATGCTAAATGCCTTTCTGTGTTGTTTTCCTTTACTGTAACAAATTAACATAGCTACTTCCTTTGGAAACTTTTCACTTTGCATAGTAGGGCCTCCTTCCTTGCAAAACAGTTGAAGATTGAAATGAACCAGAAGAGATGATCATCTATGTGGAAAGACTGGAACTAGACTTAGAAGTAAACCTTATCTCTCTCTCTCTTTTTTTAAAAAAAACCTGTTTTGTATCAGCAATTGGGATGGGGTGGGGCTTGGCAGGGGAAGTCCCTTGTGTGATTCTTGGTAGATTATCTAACAACTCTCTCTGCTAACCTGAAACCTCATGGATCCAACTGGAATAAGAGTGGCAGAAGAGTCTATTGGGAACCTTTGTCATGTAAATCAGAAGTCCCCAATCTTTTGGGCACCAGGGACTAGTTCCATGGAGAGAGGTTTTTCCAGGGACCGGAGGGGGTGTGGTTTTGTGTGCTGCCTGCATCTCACAGATGGGGCTTTGCTTGTTTGTGCGGACCGGTTGCTGGGGGACCCACGGACCGGGGGTTAGGGACCCCTGATGTAAATGACTCGTTTTGGGGGTCACCTTTCAGCAGAGATGGGGAAGTCCTGCCTTCCTCTTTACCTGCCTGACTGAGGGTCCATTTTGAGAAAAAGGATGCAGGATGTTTATGGGGGGGAGGAGAAAAAAAATAACCTCCACTGGAAACTAAAAAAGACTTCAGTGAAGTTTTTCATGGATTGTATTTCTGGGCAGCTGGTCTTAGTGATACTTATTAGCTTGATATTGTATTGCTGCACAGAGTTGCATGAATAAAAGCTTGAAGGGGGACTTTTAAGGGCAGCTCACATATAATTTTAAATGGAAATTAATTCTCTGGTCCAACCCCTATAGAAAAGAATGGCTGGGGACATCTGCTCCGGGGTCTTACCTTAGCAAAATCTGAAAGGAGGTTGAACGTGGGTGGTGCCCTGTATCCATTCCCCACCCACCCACCCACCCACCCACCTCTACCCCCTCCCCCCTTTTGAAGGTTGCAAAAGGTACCTGGCTTTGGGATGTGTTGCTGACGCCCCAAACAGTGGTTACCACCGAGAGAGATCCTGCAGGCTGATTGGTATTCTGTTGCCAAGGAACTGACTCGTAGGCATATGAACCATCACTAGAAATGAAAACAAAACAACACACAGCAGGCCGATGTGCCATGTCAGTAATTAGGAACCTCTGGGGAAGAGAAGGGGCGCGGTGGGGGGGGAAGAGGGAGGTGTTTGCAACTGGATACGAGGAAACAGCAAGTGAACCCTCCTTGAGCAAATTAAAAAAATAAAAATGGGATTGCTAGGTAGTTATGGGTCACGATCAGAAAACGAAGCCTCCATTTTCAGCAAATTCCAGGCATAAGAAAGACAGCAAAACTGCAGGGGAAAACTGCCGTTTTGATGGGAGATGGGCTTTCCAGAAGCTCTGGGTGCACTTACAGGCTTACTACAGTGCAGCTCCTAAACCCCACAGAGCAGAGAGACCTTAGGATTCATAAGTGAGGGTGGGGCAGATCCTAGGAGGTAAGGAGCCCCCCCCCCAAATCTTATTTTGCCATCTGCCCATTTCATGGTCACTTTTTTTCAGTGCCTTTAGGTGTGCAGCTCAAACGAGCTATTCCCTCACCCCAAACTCCAAGGAACCACAATGGATTCTGGTTTATCCCTATTCTAGGACAGGGGTCCCCAACCCCTGGTCCATGGACCGGTATCGGGCTGTGGCATGCCAGCATCCGGTCCACACAAACAAGCAAAGCCCATCTGTGGGATGCAGGCAGCACACAAAATCACATACTCTCCGGTCCGTGGAAAAGCTTTTCTCCACAGAACTGGTCCCTGGTGCCCAAAAGGTTGGAGACCTCCGCTCTAGGACATTGCTAACCTCCTCAGAGGCCAACTCAAAGTGCACCTTGCAGGTAATCCTCAACCTACAACCCTTCATTGAGCGGCTGTGTGAAGTTACAATGGCACTAAAAAAGTGACTTCAACCAGTCCTCGTATTTACAACCCCTGCAGCTCTCCCAGAGTCATGGACTCCAAACTTAGGGAATATGCTTGGCAACCAACATGTATTCACAATAATCGCAGTGTCCCCATTTGTGACTTTCCCAGCTGGCTTCCAACAAGGGGGGGGGGAGTCAGATTTGACAACTGCACAGTTTGCTTAACAACTGTGGCAAAAGCGGCTGTAAGATTGGGCCTGACTGCTTAACAACAGCAATTCTAGTCTCCATTGTGGTTGTTAACTTGAGGACTACATGTATTGGTCTTGGCTGGAAAAAGAAAGGTGCCCCCCCCACCGTAACCCTTTCCTTATGTTAGGTGGTGACTTCCAAGCGTGAAACAGGGATTGTTTCTGCTAACTCAGAGGTGGGAACCTCCATACTGCAGCCAAGGGCTGCATCGTATTTCCAGCCTTTTTGCAATTTTCAGGGCTGGAGGAATGCTAAGCGCTGTGCCCACCTTGCAAGGATTGTCAAACGCAGGTGAAGAGAGGTGTGTGCAAAGCCAAAAGAGGAGGCGGGCTGTATCATACTCACCCATGCGGGGTGGGAGGGAGCGATGGTTTCATTGGGTTCATGGGGGTCATTGGCTACAGGGAGGCGAAGGGGTTGGGTGCAGGATCCAAGGCCACCTAGGGAGACCGATCGCTGCCTCTCCGATGTCACAGCGGCAGAGAGACTAGAGGGAAACAGGCAGAGAGCAAGACATTAGCAGCTGCACAGAAACACAGGAAGTGTCTTATTCGAAGCCAGACTGTCTGTCCCAGAATTATGCACAGTATTTCCCAACCTAGGGAAGCTTCCAGAGAGGGGGGGGGGCTTCTGTTCCTGCAATTCCCATATCGGTGGGAAATTCTGAGAGTTGAGGTCCATATCCATATTCCTGGAAGCTGTCCAGGTTGGAAAACACTGCTGTGAACCAATGGGCAGCATCTACCCAGGATTCCAGACAAGCGGTTGGGTCCATGGGGTACTTCAACCATGTCTTTCGATGTCGTCCAGAAGGTGAGCCTTTTCCACCCCATCCGATTTATTTCCTCAACACGCTTTTAAAGAAGGCGGGACTGAGAAAGGTGGAGACCAGGCCAAAGTCCCCAAATGAAGATACTTGAGCTCCAAGGTCAACATCCTTGCTTATGATTTATGACTGACCCCTCAAGTGGCAACTTATTCAAACCAAGGTGGCTGGGTGGAGCTGACTGCCCAAGACACAGGCCAATATACAGAGCTCCTCTCTCAAAACATGTGCTCTCTTGGCCCTGGTGATAGGGCCTCCCTCCCTGGTTCCCCTTGTGTCCTCAGATACCCTCTTCTCCTCCAACAAAGCCAGGAGTGGGTGGCAGAGCTGGCACCCGGTCAACCCAACGACTTTGAGCTCTTTTGTTCTGGGGCAGCATAAGTCTCCCCACCCCTTTCTGAGATGCCATGTTTAATTTCTAGGCCGCGCAGGTAGAAGCCTAGTGCACACCTCTTGTGTCTTCTTTTCCACGGTGATTTGTCTATGGCTCCCCCGCCCTGAGGGGAAACGGCCCCATTTGTTTAGCAGAGGCATTCGGCTCTGACTACGTCAACTTTATACAGCGGCCAGAAGGAACTTGGCGTACTGCCCAGTTATGGCAAAACAAGGTCCTGGCAGGAGCAAACTGTCGAGCTGTCCTAGTTACACCAGATTAACTCTGTGTTGCCCACAGCTTCCGGACAGACTCAAGAATGCACATCCATCACTCTACCTGAGCTTCTATCTGGCTTGTGGAAGCTGGAAGTGTCACCATTGACACACCATTCCTTGTTATCACATCAAACAGAAGAAGATACTATTCAGTTGAGGGAGTATGACACCATGAGAAGCAGTTTGGTCCTCACAACAGCCAATATTTACAATTCTGCTTTCCATATCTAGATGATGCTGAACTGTATCTCCAGCAGCGCTGGCTAAGTAACGTGGTCACCGATGAGAGAACTCGGGAGCAGAAACCTTCAGAGCAGTGTTTCTCAACTTTGACAATTTGAAGGCATGTGGACTTCAACTCCCAGAATTCCACAGCCAGCATTGCTGGCTGTGGAATTCTGGGAGTTGAAATCCACATGCCTTCAAATTGTCAAGGTTGAGAAACACTGCTCCAGAGGATCACAGGTTCTCCTTTCTATCATTAAAAATAGCAGCCAAGTTCACACAACATGCCCAGGCTTCATGGGGTTGGTTTGGTCTGATTATGATTTAGCATGTGCAAGTTAAGGTACAAACGTAGCGATTTGGGTGTAGACAACAAATTGTAAACCGCCCGGGTTAGAGCACCATGTGAAGGATAAAATAGAGATTTTAGGGGATATAAGAGCCCTTACTTTTACATAGATAGCTAAAAGTTGTTTCAGATGTTAAAAGAGAGAGAAGCTATTGTTGGGAAAGAGACTGTGGGAGGAGGAGGAGGAGGAGGAGGAGGATCATCTAAAGCAAACCCAATCGCCTTAACCAAAACCTAGGAAACAAGCATTGTTCTTCTGCTGGGTTTTTTTTTTCCCCAATCTCCAAGATTGTCTATATAGTGGGAATGACATAGTAAGAAGAGTAAAGGAAACGTGCCCAGGCAGATCTAATTAACTCCACTTAGCTTTGGGTAGGAACTCTGGGAAAGCTTATTTCCAGTCCCCCCCCCACTCCCGCTCTTCAAGAATAAAGTAAACTTTAGAGACAGAAATGCCAACCGCCCCTCATTCTTCCCATTGCTCATTCCATGCAGAATAGCAATAGCACTTAGACTTATATACCGCTTCACAGTGCTTTACAGCCTTCTCTAAGCAGTTTACACAACCAGCCTATTGCCCCCAACAGTCCAGGTCCTCATTTTACCCACCTTGGATGGCTGGAAGGCTGAGTGAATCTTGAGCCAGTCAGGGTCGAACCCCTGGCAGTCGGCAGAATTAGCCTGCAATACTGCATTTTAACCATTGCGCCACCGAACTGGCAAAGGAGGATGGCGTGTTACCCTGGCCTGACCACAGAAATGGCCCTTTTCATTTCTTCTGCCCATCCACAGCTGGCTTGTTGAAGAGAATGCTGGCAAGTAGTACTTTACAGCAATGATGGGCAATTACTGCCCCTTTGTGACCTGTGGACTTCAACTCCCAGAATTCCTGAGGCACCATGGACAAGGATGGCAGCACTTGCATCCTACGGAACACGTATTTTCCAAAATAATGTCCTTGAGATGTGTGAACCTCATGGACAGGAAGGAGTAGGAAAAATAGGCCTGGGGTGTGCTGGGGCTTCCCCCCCCTCCTTTTTTTTCCTGTGGGTCTTCCCCACTCAGCCGTTATTCCCTGAAATGATTACTAGGAATGCAATTGTAAGAAGACTGTTTTAAAGTGGGGTGGCCAACCCTGGCAACTTTAAGACTTGTGGACTTCAATTCCCAGGATTCCTGAGCCAGCATGGCTGGCTCAGGAATTCTGGGCATTAAAGTCCACAGATCGTAAAGGGGCCACAGTTGTCCACCCCTGCTTTATGGCATGTTGACAAGGCTTCTGTGCGCACCTAGGTATGGTTACAGAGCTGATCAGTGAGTCAGTGGGACTCGCTCAGCCAAAAAAGTCCTACAGCCCCCCCTCCCTCACCTTGCTCTAAAAACAGCGAGAAACCTTTGATCCAGAAAGTGTTTCTATTCTATTTGTTTCACCTTCTGCTCCACAACATCATGATCCCTCTTTTTTGGGAGAGGCAAGTAAATAAAATGACCGAATAAAAAAATAAAATAAAAAATATCCTAGGGGAAAAAGAATTGATATGCTCTCTCTCTCACACACACACACAAACACACAATGTGTTATCTTAGGAAAACATGCAAATTATTCAAGCATCCAAGTTCCATGGGTTTCCTCAACATCTCGTCCACAAAAATTTGACTTTACCATGAACTTCCCTGCTATCAGCTTGAGGTTAGGTCCCCATGTTCTTGATGCTTGCTTAATATTGAAAACACTGGCCTCTAGAACCTTATTCTGATCAGCTGGGACAACCGGTTTAAACCAGGACATATTTTGCTTCTGGAATGGTTTACGCTTCTGGCTTTCTCTTCCCACTCCTGGTGATCCTTTATTGTTCTTATTAACTATTTTGAAAGCTATCGGGCACCTTGAGCCTAAGAAAATAACGTTTGGTGTGTGTGTATCCTGCTCCTCTTGTTCTTGCAACATATCCTGCTCCTCTATATTGCTGGGAGACTCTCAACAATGTACACACACAGACACAGACACACACACTTTATTAACTGGGACAGCTCCTTCGGAAGGAAATCATGCTTAACCCCAAAATGAATTAGCTACTAGAAGATAGCAGAGTGTCAGACAGAAAAGAAAAGAGAGTCTCACTTAGATATGTGAGATGAAAAAAAAAACCAGGACTTAAATCTCATGTGGTTTCTTCCCCCCCCCCCAAAAAAAAACAGTGCCCTGCAGATATGCTGGCCTTGGGTTCCCATAATCTCTAACCACCAAGGCTAGGAGAACTTTGGAGGGGAGGGGGCTGAGGAAAGTGGGACCCTTCCCCATAAAACATCTGATAGCAGCTTGGAAGAAAGCTTTGCTTGTGGGGAGAAAGAGGAAAAATAGATTCATTTCTCAGCTAACCAAAACATACAATCTGACAGCTTCCAACTGTCAGTTCAAAACCCCATTTCCCTCAAGCAAAGCCATTGCCTCATCTGGGACTAGCCACAAGCCTTCCAACTGCTCTTCTTTAACAACAACAACAAAATAAAATAAAAAGGCTGCTGTTTTTGCAATGCAGTGTGGTATGGCATGCCAAGAAGGGGAATACCAAATACACATGGCAATGTGTCAAAGGGGAGGGCAGAGAAACAGAACAAGGGCAGAGGCAACAAGCAGAGTGTGGCCATTAGGGGTTGCTGTGGTAGGATAAAAGGGTGATGAACTGAGTGGAGCACCAAGGTCCACAGGGAGACCTCTTCCCATTTTTCATAGAAGCTACATTCAGAGACCCCTTCCCAGTATAAAAAGGAATGAAAAAGAGGAGGAGAGGGGGTACTGAAGATATAAAAAGGGGAAAAGAATATATTGGGGTTGAACTGTGGAGTCCTTGGGTTATCGTTGAGCTTGGCTGTCTGTTTGCAGACGCTTGTTTTGTTACCCAACTAGCTAACATCATCAATGGACACTGATGATGTTACCTAGTTGGGTAGTGAAATGTCTGCAATAGAACAACCAATCTCAGAGAGCGGCAAGGACTCCATATGTGAAGACTTATGCCGCAGAGGAAGAGAGAAGAAACTGGTCATTTCTGAGAATTTCCCCTCCCATATTTACCATCTTAGTGCGGAGTCTGAGGTGTAGGACCACAAGGATCATAAACTCACACAAGAAAATCATGGAAAATACCCCACACTGGGGGCAAAGGATGCCAGCCCAACACTTCAGAATGTAAAAGTTTGAAGCATTCTCTGAGTCTACCTTCTTTTTCCCAAAGTATTGCTTTCGCCCGGATTGAAGTTGTCAGTTTTGATTTTAAATAAAACCAGCTCCTGTTCCTTACCCCCCCCCCACTAACTTTGAATGTTAATGGATGATCATGTTTATCTCCTTGACATGGACAAGCTTTACTTAATGATGATTAAAAGAGACAAGCCACTTTTAAAAGCTGCAGAGACCTTCTGAAAAAGGACATCA